ACCAAACTGCATTTGATTGTTGGTTAATTAAATGGGTTCAGGGAATAATGCCATGATTTCAATTGTTAATTACAACATTAATTCAGTTACTAATTTTTACCTGATTTTGACCCAAAGATATTAGCAAGTTGGACCAGATGAGAATAATTAGATTCTGCCACATGAAATTGTTCTATGGATTAATCAATTAAATCAAACTATTATGATTCAATCATCACACTAGACTCTTTGACTTAATTAATCCTACCACTAATTAATTTTAATTTGCCACTTGATTTTGTGCTATTATTTGTAAAAAAAAAAAAAACACTATAAATTTGCTGAGAAGACGACTCTTATCTCAAATTCGTTATTGCAGTCTTCGTTTAAACCGGCTCTTATTATAAATGTTTTATAAATCGGACCAGAAATTGACCCGAACAAGCTACTGTGTCGTCATGTTTTATTTTAGAGTTATTTATATTAAATTTTTGTAGTAAATAAATACATATTATTTCACATTATTAATTCATTACTCAGTTCCAAATTGAAAATCGAAGAGGGTCCAAATAAAAGGGAAAAAAATAAATAAATAAAACATGATTAATGGACTTAAATCAAAGAATCTAGTCTAGGTAAAGTCGCATTTGTCTCATAGCAGGGAGCAGCTAATACAAATGCATGCATATGCAGATGAATTTGGAGTTTATTAAATCCAGAAATTAATTAAAGAATTAATAATAATAATAATAATAATAATAATAATAATAATAATAATAATAATAATAATAATAATAATAATAATAATAATAATAATAATAATAATAATAATAATAATAATAATAATAATAATAATAATAATAATAATAATAATAATAATAATAATAATAATAATAATAATAATAATAATAATAATAATAATAATAATAATAATAAATAAATAAATAAAATTGAAGCTAATTAATTAAATGTAACGCGTAATCTTCAAAATGATAAATATTGATTTTTATAGTAATAATTTTGGCCCCTTTTCTGGGTGAATCACGACTACGTATACACAAGGATTTGTCACACCCCAATTTAGTGGGGATTTTAATGATAACAATAAGCGTGTTTTGACCAATAAATGGAATAACGCTTCTTTAAAAACATGTTCCTACTTTGATTGATCAATGGACCAAAAAAACAATTAAAACCCATTAAATGAAAAGGGTACACTTAAGCTAACACAAAACTGCCCAATTTAGGTGTAATTAATTAATTTTATAATCGCCAAAATAAGTCTAACATTGGTTGAATTGACCACACTATGATTAGTTATGACTAATCACTAAAATGGGGTGTTAACTCCTAATCATAACCCTACCCCACACTTACTATACCAATGATATATATAGGACGACTACGTACAAAATATGAACGGTTGAATTTCTTAATTATTGAAAAATATATATTATAATATATTTTGTGGTCCGCGAGATGCTACACCTGGTGAAAAACATTGGATAGTAAAAATCACCATAAATATGTATGAATATTCGTTCACGAAGCACACATATACGTGTGTGTTATTATGTGTAGGTCAATGATGCAGAATTAGTAGATCACCCGATATATTTCACTGAGCGTAGCATGTCTACAAAACGAGTACTTTGATTTGATCGATGTGGACGTATTATTATCAAGTCTTTGATTTTCAATTAATACAAATCTAGAAGCTAATTAAGAAAGGATATCTTTTTTTGTTCAATTCATTTACAGTAATTTTGTTCTGTTAATAGTAACAATAATACATAAGATTTTACATGGTGATAGATACGATCTTGACTTTCTTCAAGGGAAGAAGATGGTCGATTATTTATCATTGTCGTTAAATTAATAGAATTTTGGTAGTTTGAACTGAATTAATTTATAGTGATTTAACGAATTGACGGCATAATATAGGGCTTATCTATATATATCCATTTAGTCCAATGCCAAGGATAAGGAGAATCTTCCTATATATACTTGTTCTTCTTCTTCTTGACAGTTTGCCATGGTCCATACCCTAGTCCATTTACATAACCATGACCACACATCTTTATTATATATATATATATATATATATATATATATATATATATATATATATATATATATATATTGCATGCACGAGTGTTGATGAATTTGGAAGTATATGTAATTTCATTCTTCGCTGGCCAAAATTTGGTAGGTAAAACACACACACACACACACCTATATATATACACCGTTAATTTGAAATTGGAATTGACATGTTACTTGGACTTTCTTGCAATTGTCACAATCATCTTCTTTAATTTCTTCAATCTTCAAATAGATTTGACAAAATTATTAAAATATTTCATAAATATATATATCATTTGGGGAGATGGATACTTAGGCTGCTAGCTAGTTATGAACGAAAGAGACACTTTGTAATTGAACTAGGGTTTTATCTTCATGTTTTACCTTGTGCCGACAGCCCGAAAATATTATCCCAAGAATTATGTTTTTTTTTTTTTTTTGTATGCATATTAATTAATTAACTCAACAAATTATTATGAGCTAATTATCTACAACCTCTTGTACTAATTTCTCCGAATAAATTAATTGTTTTTTATACGAATAATAACAATAAACAATTGCAAATTTAAATTAAATGTACAACCCCTTGATGCATTATTGAGTACAAGAAACAAGAAAATGAAAATGACACATTATTATGAGTGTAGAACGTTGCTTCATGAGGTGATAGCACACATTTAATGTTCAATTATATATATTAGGGTTTATTGATCCCCATTCACATAATTAAATAATATTTGAATTTGGTTATTGTGAATGCATGCAATTCCAATCTTAATTCCACACTAGTCACCATTCCAATAAAGACTAATTCTTGTGCAAATGAACAATAAATTCAGTTAGACTATGATACATATAATTGAAATTGATAATTGTTCCCTAATTCAACGAATATTGCTTTTCTTGTCTCAATTTATTTTGCCCCATAACCTAATTAGCTAAGGATTGTAACTGAACCTATTAATTGTATAGCCAAATTTGCAATCAAGAATAACCAATCCATTTTTTTATTGAGCTAACGATTTCACACTCGTGTGTGTTCTATGCGCCTGCGTTGTACGACCATATATAAAAAAAAATGCCGAACCATCAATAAAATGTATCTATAGATACAAAAAATTGTCGAACCATCAATTTCGCAGTTCAATAAAATGTGAACCGTAAAATACGATAAATAGATACACGGTATTGAACAAAATATTCGGACCGAAACCACATATAGGGCTAGATGTATGTATAGATTGGTGGGCCCAACAAACCATCCATAGGGCAAGATGTATGTATAGATTGGGTGGGCCCAACAGCCGCAGGTACAAGTGATAGATAGATGTCATTGCTTTCGTACAATGTCCAAAATTGCCAGCTGTAATAATAGCCCAAAATAAAATAAAATAAAATAAAATAAAATAAAAATAAATAAATATGGGGAGGAGGGACCTAAAAATCAGAGGGTATGGACCAATTACAGCTCAATCTATAGGACTGACTAAGTCAGGTGAAAATTGAAATTCACTAACCACTTGTCCTACCCATAAATACATACACCAAATTTCCCAATTTCAACGCGGTGATTCCTAAAATAAATGAAATAATAATAAAAAATATAAAAAAATAAATTATTTAATCCATAAAATTTGAAGAAATTGACTTTATATATATCTTCTTGTTTGAAATAATGAAGTCGACTAGTGTATATATTTTATGTTATATTGTTTTTGTCCGAGTTTTAATGAGATTTGGAGGGTGGAGAAATAAATAGATGCAAGTGGTTGATCGTCGTAGTCATAATAGACGAGTATTATCGCAACGGAAAAAACGAACACCGGTGTTGATTTTTGAATCGGATATAATGTATATGTAGTTGGCAGGAGGGAAATTGGTCCAGTGAGGAGTGGTGGTCCTAAATACAAATAGGAAGGAAAAAATGGTCCAAATATAATGGTGGAGTGATGGGCTTTTATTCAAATGCAGAGAACTTAAAAGAATTTCATGTGAATTTTCTGGGCATGTTGTGCATGAGGTGTGACTGGTCCTTTTTTTTTGAATTTTTCCTGCCCTTATTTAGCAGAAAAAAAAAAGAATTGTTTATTTATTGCATTTCCAAGTCAAAAATCAATATTGTCTTGAATGAGACCAATCGTAGTACGTTCGTTCAAACCGATGGTTTCTAAGGAAGGTTCCGTCGTGGTTCTAGAAAAGTCGAATTATTTGTTGTAATATGATATTTTAGCTCGTGTTTTAGTTTTTTTGATAATTGTATTTTTTTTTTTTTTTTGACGAGGTAAAATTGATTTTTGGGTGGAAATGTGAAATATAAGAAGGGGTTGACTTTTTTCTTGTTTTTAATGTTGTTAAGTTGGGATAAGTTGACTTGTGAAATAGGGTGAACTACCACAACTTACACACGTGATCATCGCTTCAATTTTATTACATTTGACTTTAATTAAGAAAACAAAATGTCAACCATCAAACACACATAACTGTTATATTAAAATAATACTGTAGGGTTCTCACTAATAGTCCCTAAATAATATTGAAAAATAGGTCGTCCTGTCCTAACACGTGAGAGGGTATAACATCTGTATATAATGAGTATAGTTGTATAAATCATACAATTAGAAGTCGAATCGTACAATTGAACTTAAGACACATATGTATACACACATACGTTCCTCAATAATAAACGTCGGGTGGTGTTTCCTTTAATCACCTCAGAAGATACGCAAAAGAAAAAAAAAAACAAAGAATGATTTGTGTTCCCTAACTCAGTACAAAAAAGGCTCCAATTTCGGCACGTACCCAAAAAAAAAAAAACATTTAAAAAAATGGTATTTCCCAGCCCGTAATGCCGAGAACCTTCGGAAAATACCATGTATACAAAGAATAAATTAAAAAAAAAAAAAAAAAAAAAAAAAAGGGCAAAGAAACTGTCGAGCTAAAAGAAATGGTTTTCTTTTTAATGGATTTACAGTTTTTTTTGTTCTTTTTCTTTTTCCGATGTATCCGTGTTGAAACAAACTGTACGGAAAGCAAAAAAAAAGATGTACCCTTGGCCTTAATCGTGTAAAAATTCGAAGGCAGGGTTCTGAAGAAGGTCCGTAGCAGGTTTTACATCGAAAAAGTCCTTCACTCTGAGTGAACTCGATAGTTCATCCATTGAAAACGGGATGCTGTTTCACATGTACAACAACAACCACATTATACTTCACATTTTTTATTTATTTTTTAATTTTTTTTTAATTTTAAATTTGGGTCGTTCGTTACCTGGAATTGTCATCCAAAAGAAACGAGTTGCTGACAGCAGTGTTGGAATCTTCGGTCATTAGCACCCTCATGTTCGATATGACCTGTAATAAATAAATAAAATTATTGCAACATATGTTATTACTTAATCGTAGAAACAAATACTATATATAATATACTTACTTCAGTAGACACACTTCGTGTATTATAGTTATCGTCCCAGTATAAAGTACATATTCTGTACAGCTGCTGTACACTCAGAATCTGGGGAATTGAAAATATATAGGAAGCGTCAAAACAGTAGTCTTCGTTTTCTTTTTTATGTAAATTATGTTTTTTTGTCTTCTTCTTTTTAAGTGTAAACTAACTTACAGGACACAAATCGTTGATGATCTCGTCGTACGATATTCTGTACTTCTGATGTATAACCTGTAGGGGGGAAAAAGGAAAGAAAAAAAAAACGGTAAAGGTAAGTTAATACGGAAAATTACAAAAGTGCCATTAAAAGTTTCCGAAAAAGAAAAGAGAGAGAAAACTTACTAAGAAGCCAACGGCTTGTCTTATGTGTTTGAGTTCATCCCAAGCTGAGCCCGAATACTGAAATGCCAAGAATATTTTGTCAACTCGAGAAAAAAATATTAAATAAAATAAATAAATAAAATAAAATAAAATTACCTCTTCTTTTGCTTGACAGCACCACAGTTCTAGCTCCGCCAGACCAGATTTGACATACTCTCCGTTGCTAAATGTACAGCACTCGCGCCGTAGAAGAAGACTGAAAAGTCATATGTTTGGACAAAAAAATTAGTAAAAAAAGAATTATTACAGAGATTTCATTCCAAGTTACAGACATTCCAATTAATCACCTGTTAAATAGTTGCACGTTGACATATGAAAACGTTTGAGTAAATATCTTCTGAACAAGAAACGGGGGAACCTGCAAAGACCCCAAAAAAAAAAAAACAAGAATATTATAAATTTGAAAGCATACATTATTTTAATATTATTAAATTCAGCTTAAATATTTATATATATAAATCGATCCATACAAAATTCTCTGTGAGTGTACTAAGCAGGGAGTTGAGGCAATCAATGATGGCCATCCAATGATTTGTTTGAGAATCTTTGCCGAAAGATCGACCAGACCTCAACACACTTCCTTTCGAGGTTCTTGGTGCCTGAAATCATTATTCAAGCATTGCTCATATAATATTCGATAAATTTAAATATTTTTTTACTCTCTTGTTAGGATAGAAGTTATCTCAGCATACCTGAATACATAAAGCAAGAATTGCTCCCAAGTCCTTCTTCAAGTTATCTCGAATAATGCCGTAGATTTTCTCAACGTAAGCATTAAGCTGCTGCTTGAAAAGCAGAGCTGGGTATTTCGCTTCGACTTGTCGCACCTTTTCAATGGCTGCTGCAGCCGCAGCTAGGCTTGTCGAAGAAGGTGACCTAAATCCCTGTAAAAAAATATTTATTTCATATTATCTAGCTTCGTAAACAGCAAAAAAAAAAAAAAGAAAAAAAAGAGAATATTGAATACCATAGTCATCCTCCCGAATAGGGAGGTTGGTGGTTGTGCCTTACGAACTGGGGTGGCGCCAGCTGTCCCAGCAGGTTTCAGACTTTTTTCAAGCAAGAACAACAGCGTCGAAGTATTTGACAGCCAATAAGCCATGTGATCGTTATTGCTGTCTTGATTCTGCAAATTAATTTAGTGCTTAGTTATCTCAGAATTGTTTTCGACAGTTTTAGAGCAAACAGACAAATGTAAAGGAAATATTATTACCTCAATGGCCGAACCAATCATCTGAATAAGTCGATCGAACACGCTTGTCCGTTCACATTCGAAAGATTTCCAGTGCAGCAGGCATTTATATATCGTGAAAGCTGCAACGGGCTTGCCTTGGCTGAAGCCCACGTCTTTTATTACACATTCCAAGAAAGTATCAACGTCCTCCTGTAATAAGATTCAAGTATTATTTCATCGAGAAAAAAACCCAATAGTTTTCGAACAATGAATACGAAACAAAATCTCGTTTTATAGAAATAAAGAAAAAAACGGACATGGTGACGGTCGGTTGGGGGCCTCCTAGGTTTGCTGTCGGGGGTCTCGTAAACTTTTGTCGGAGTATGTAATAATATATCCTGCACAAAATCAATCTATATGTAAATTTAAAGCTTTAACGACAGAATCAAAAAGAAGAAACATAAAAAAAAAAAGAAAAAAAAAACGAGACAGTACGTTGACTGTAGTCACTTCACTTGCATGGTAGCCATTTTCCAATATCTGCAAATAAGTGGCGAAAAAATAATAAATTATATTAAGAAGGATTAAAGGAGACGGAAAATACAGCGATTTTTTTTCTTCAGACGTAATTAACCTTGGTTGGTAAAGGTGATGCATTTTCTGATAATAATTTAGAGGCAGTTAACAACGATTGCTGACGAAGAATCTTGTTTTCGGATTCCATGTCGGAAATTTTTTCTTCGAGCCTACACGTGCAGAAAAAGAAAATGAAAAGATTAACAACTTAAAGTAAAATTAAGTACAAAATAACAAATTGAAAAGAAATAAAAAACGAACCTATTTATATTGGTTTTCAGCTTAACAATCACAGACTCTGCCTCAACAGCTTGCTTCAACCTCTCCTCACTAAGTTTGTTCGTCTCTTCGTATTTCTTCTCCGTTTCGTCTATTTTCGTTTCGAGAGAGCTAACTACGGCCTGCGCAACATTGCATAAGCGGATGCGAGAATAAAACCAATTATGTAATAAAAAAAAAAATTCCACCAAATTATTAGGACCAGCATGCATGCATGCATACCTTGAGTTTTTCGTTCTCGGCGGTGACCTTATCCATCATTTCATGGTCGATGACCGGAATCTCCTGTACTACAGGAATTTGTTGCTCGGCTGCCGCCACTTTTGCCGCTTCGATTTCCTTCAACATCGCGGCTTTGCTTTCCTTGAACTGAAGCTGAAGCTCTTCCAATGCTGTCTGCAATTTCGTGTTCTCTCGTGTCTTCGCTTCTTCCAGGTCAGCCTATAGATATAGAATATATATATTTTTTTATTAGATATTTATATAAAATCAAATCAAATTATTTTGGATATGTTTTATATACATACTCTCATTCGTTTCTCCAGCTGCAATCTCCAAGTCAATTCTTCGACTTGCTTCTCTAATTTATTCTTGGCAGCTTGCAGGGCACCGGTTTCTCGTGCAGCCTGTTTTCCGCGAACATAAAAATATTATTAAATAATAGCAATAACAAAACATAAAAAGAAATAATCGAGAGGCTATACCATCTTCATTTTACGCAGTTCTAGACGAGCAACTCTTCCCCTCCACGCACATTGTGTAGTAAGTGCAGCTTTCTTCAGCTCAATATATTTCGAACGAGCTAAATAGCCACGGCAATAACTCTGTCGTAGTCACACAAGGTGATGAGTCATCAATATATTTTATTTAAAAAGAAGAAAAAAAATAGTCCTTACTTCATAAAAAAACAATTTACCTGGATCAAAATCGCTGCTTGTGTTTGCTGTCTGAAGCGAAGCTCATTACGCGCCGTCATCCCACGCATCCCTGTCTGAATCGAGACAGCAGATAATCGCAGCTCTTTGTATGCTTTCCTCGCAAGATACATTCGCAAATATTTCTGAATCTTGAGACAAGAAGCTTCTCTCCTAGTACGCTCATAAATACATCGTGTAAGTTCTCCTGCAATCACACAAAAAAAAATTAAAAAATTAAAAATTCACAAAACGATGTCTCGATAAATGTGTCTGAACGAAACTCAGTTCTACCTCTGCATACAGATTGAATAAAGATTGCCGAGCGGCGCAATAACGTGAAATTTTTCTTAGCCATGTAAGAACGGATTTTCCTCTGTATAATACTGGCCGATCTTCCCAACACTTCGGTCCTACGAGCATCCAGCTCAGCCATCTGTCCAGCCCTCAGAAACACTTTAGTTTTACCAATCTGCACAAATCAAACAGGTTTTAACTTTTAAGTATCATCCTAATAGTCTAATACTATTAACTCAAGGGCGAAAAGGTCATTTACCTGATAGCCTTCGAGACCAACTTTCTCCAAAAGCTTCTTGCAGACAGCAACCTCGTCCGTACTGTAATAGAAATCCACTTAATGAAATTAATAAAAAGGAAAAGGAAAATACACTAATTGTAATTATCAAGGGAGGTGTCGATGGGGATGTAGACGTGTATTGATTGTACCTTCCTTTTAAAACCTCGGGAGAAAGAATGCCGAAACGATGCACAAATTCCAAGAAGGGTCTTTTTGTAGGATATCCAGCACAACTAATTCTAATAGCTTCCATAACCCCCTGAAATAAGTGCAATCAGCTAAAATTGTACAAAAATAATAAAACCCGAAAAAAAATATTAAAATAATTTATTTTTACCCCACAGCGGAGTTGTTGAAGGACATTCTGGTTCTCAAAGATAGCTGGCTTAAGAAGATTATTCGGCTTTACGCAGCGTATGTAATGAGGTTCGGTGGAACTCAGTGTTTCGAGCAGAGCTTGTAATTGTTGCTGTAGAATTTTTCACGTGAAAAAGCTTTCGTATCTCAATATATGTATATATAAAATATAAATATATATACCTTAAACCTCGCGCCAATTGAAGAGAACTTTGATTGTTTAGAGGATTCCTCGTTCGAGACTGGAAAAAGACGAGAAACAAACGAACACGTGGAAGCACACAGGAGGTCTTTATGTTCGGCAATAACATAGTCCTTGTTTTTGTCCAGAAATAACTCGGTTTGATAAGTCACCTGTCACGTAAAAACTTTATTTAAAAAAAAAAGAAATATATTTTAAAGCGATAATTTTTAAGAATATCTTGGTAAAACTTACGTCACCGGCATAATGTGAAACTGTGAAATCAGAACGAGCTAATTTGGGCTTGCTAAAGCGTTTGTGGTTCTTGAAAGTCTGGTACAGCTTCTGGGAAAATGTTTCGTGAGTTGACCGTGGGAACATACTAGATGCCGAAATTCAGACAAAAAGACATCAGTCAAATGTTGTTTTGTCACTGTCTGTAAACAAGCCAAATAAATGAAAAACAGAATCTTACCAAGCTTCGTCAAGAAGTGCTATAATGCCACCTGGCTTCTGAGTAATTTGAAAAGTAAAAAAAAACATATATATTAGAAACAGAAATATAATAACTCGTGTGGTCAGTAAATAATAGTTGAAAATTTAAACAAAAGGCAGCAGCACCACAACCTTTTCGATTAGATCAAGAACGTCTTTATTATCGATGAACTCTATGTAGCTCCAGTTAATTTCTTCTTTAGTGTACTCTTCTTGCTCCATTTTGAAAACGTGCTGCCAAATTAAACAAAAAAAAAAAAAGTCGAACAACTAAAAACAAAGACTATAAAATAAAGATTGCCAGATAGAAAACGATAAATTACAAGAAACCTGATTAAAGTGCTGCTGAAGCTTCTCGTTTGTCAAGTTTATGCAAAATTGTTCAAAGCTGTGGACATATTTTATATACAACATTAAAAAAAATAAGAGCCATGTCCTGAACAAAACTGCTGTAATAATTCAGTTTAGTGGTACACAAGCATTATATTGGACAAGTAGGCAAATTCAAGAAAATCGAAAGAGCAGTTCATAAATTTTTATTATCCAGAAAACTGTAGAATGATGAAAATACAGCAATAAATAACCACCTACTCATTAGAAAACTACAGTCTCAATTTTTAACTTCAGATATTCAAGTTCATCGGGCAATATAGCACGGAAGGTCGGAAACACCAATTATTAAAGAACCGAAGAAAAAGGATATAGAACGTACACGAATGTCTTAATTTTTTTTTTTTTTTTTATTTCTTTTAATTTTTTGTTAAATTCAAATCCTAGACTTTGACCCTAATAGTCAAGAAATTAACACACAGCGTACCGTTTAAGCACCTGTTAGTCTTGAAGCTCTCGAATCCATAGATATCGAGCACCCCAATTAAGCATTTCGAATTGGGATCTTGACCGATAGAATTATTGATCTTATCCACAAGCCTGCATATGTAAAAGGGTAAATGAGTAAAATAACCGAACTCTCGACAAAACCCGAATAAGGGAATCAGCAAACAAAGAAGAAAGACGAAGCTTTTACCAGTCGAACAATCTCGAATACACAACTTTAGCCAAAGCATCTCTACTGTCAACAGCTGCCTCTGGATCCAACTCTTTCGTGATTGTCTCGTCACGAGTCACAATTATACGTTTGCAAAGGGAATCTTCCAAAGACTTTGCATCACACCTTTATAATAATGTTAAAATTTTAAGATTCGGAAAATAAAAGGTGGGATAACTTTTCGAAAAAATTAAATAAAATTAGTTACATGAACAATTCAGCTGCGGTTTTCAAATGAAACCAAGATTTTTCGTCTTTAGGCATGGAGGAATCGATTTCCTTCCCCTTTGTAAATTCGATGTTACCGAGATGGAGAATTGCAGCAACAACTCGAAATATTGCATCCTTAAAAAAGTAAGAAGGAAAATATGGAGTCAAAACAAAGAGAATGTGTTTTATAAGATGTTGACGTGTAATAAAAAAAAAAACCTGCAGTTATTAAGTTAATTTACCTGTTCCTCGGAACTGATTCCTACAGTGTCCATTGCCTTCTTTGTTGCTATATATTCTTTAGATTCATCGACACCGCTTAGCTCGTAGCACTTCGACTGGTTTAGATAATGGAACTTTCTTGGATCTCCCACTTTGTATTTTTTCATATCCTAATATTTTCACATTCAACGAAAATGTTAATATATTAAAAAAAAAAAAGATGCCTTTGGAATCTAATAGACTACCTCTTCGGGTGCAGCACAGAGCATATAGAAACAATGGTAGTTTCTCTCAGGATCAGACACTTGGCAAACACGAGATCTTTCGAGCAAGTAAGTTCTAATGGCAGCCCCAGATATCTTACCCATTTGATCAAACTGAATCTCCACAAATTTACCGAAACGACTAGCAATAATAAAATTCATGAGGTGAAATCAGTTAAGTCAAGACATAATTTTATTAATTTTTTTCCGGAAAATAAGCAAGAATTGTATAAATTTTTCAGTACCTCGAGTTGTTATTTCTCAGCGTCTTTGCGTTACCAAATGCCTCAAGAACAGGATTTGACTGCAATAAAAAAAATATAAAAATAAAAAACACAGAATATACTGTGAAAAAAAATATCATTGTACGAAACAATTTTATTACCTCGAGTACTTGTTGTTCCACTGTCCTTCCCTCGGATTTAGATCGTCCTCCCATGTAAGCGAGATATTGCATAAGCAATTTTGTGCTTTCCGTTTTACCTGCCCCACTTTCGCCACTAACCAAAATCGACTGACTTATTCCTTCATTTCTCATAAGCCTGTTTTCAAACGAGTGTTTCACCTTATAATAGCAGCATACATATACATACACAAAATATATATATATATATATATATATATATATATATATATATATATATATATATATATATATATATATATATATTGACAAATAGACATACCTGTATGCAGCATCCGCAACAGCAAACGGGTGCGGACTCAATTCACCAAAGGCTGCACCTTTATATTGTGCCATCATATGACTATTGTATAAATGTGGCAATCTTTGAAAAGGGTTCACGGCGATCAATATATTTCCAGTATACGTCTGAAAAAAAAAGTGGCGAGGAAAAGCAATTCAATAATCGATTTATTTTCTTTTTTCATGTGACGAATTCGAATTATGGGAACTTACGTAAATTTCATTGATGTCGTATCTGGATTTCAAATTAGCCAAAACTCCAGGTTCGTGCAGATACGCCAACTTTGTCATATCATCGACCCCACAAGGTGGAGCTTCCGAATCTTTCGGGTATACATTAGCCGACTTTGCCACAACCTACGAATAATTCCGTGCATAAGCAATTTAAACGAAATAAAGAAATTTGAAAAATTAAACGATGCTTATAAGATGTGGTACGGATATTTACCGTTTTGCCCAATGTAGATAGCACCTTGATATCTTCACCGTTAACGGATAAAACCTCACCGTCGATCCATGCTTCATCGGAATCTTCCACCCACACAAGAGATCCGACTCCTAAAGCGACTGGAGCAACCTGCAAAAGATTCCAACGAAGTTTTATAAATCGGAGATTATCACAAACCTCACAAACCATCCTTCGACTTTGTACACTCCGTTTTCAGGATAGGGAAAATGTAAAATCGACCCAACAAAGCCCACATTGTACTTCGCAGTCGATTAATACACATAATTACATGAATTCTAGTTTCTAACACAGTCAAATTGAAGTCAACCATTGATCTTCGAGTAGTCAATTTTCAGTAAACAATTTTTGCATAAATTATTATCACAAACTTCTATCTAAAATGATTTATCAAAAATTTATTCGGAAAAATCAACTAACAAACAAACACACAATAAGGATCACCATGCTGCAATAAGTTGAAGACGAAAAGCAAATAAAAACCGAAAAATCCACAATCACATTACACATTCAATTATCCTTATCCAATCGGTTAAAAACAGTAAAAAATCTTGTTGGGCAGTAAATAATCAGCGAAAACGGAAACATATCCAACTACATTAACACACACATCGAATCTCGATTAATTGAGGCAAAAGATCAGCTCAAGATTCCGTAAAAAACGACATCGGAAAAACACCAAACCAACATCGAATGCATTGCAAGAACAATCGAATTAAAAGAGCTGAATACCATTTTTGCAGTAAATTTCAATCAGATCACAAACTCCAGCCGCCGCCGCCTCAAATCAGCCTTCAAAATAAAATAAAATAAAACAAACATATATATATATATATATATATATATATATATATAAATTCAACGCCTGCTTCTCCTAATTAACAAAATCTCGAAATCCAGTAAGCAGATTTCTGTAATCTCTTCCAATAAACAACTAATCTTGCACACAAGTTCTTCAATTCCTTCAAAAATTATTTAAATGGAATAAAAAGTAAATAAATAAATAAAAATGGAGGAATTTAGGAGTATTTACACCGCTCCGATTTTGTGAATGGAAAAATGGAAAAGGGAAAATCGGAGAGGTGCAGCAGAGGTTTAAATGAAATGAAAGAAAGAATAAAAAAGAAAGAACAACGAAATTTAACTTAAAAACCCCCCTCTTAAGCAAATTGAACTTTTTCTTTTTTGGAAATAAAATAAAATAAATAATTAATTAATTAAATAATAGTAAAAGAATCTTTTAATTTTTTCTAAGGAAAGTCTTTTTCTCTTCTCTCCCACGTTGTTTGGGATTTGGTCCTTGTCCGAGAATTTTAATTACACTTACAATTTAAATGAAGTGGATTGCCATTAATGCCCCTAGCAGATGGCCGTTATTTCAAATCCGGGATTTTGCGGTGCTCCGACGTGGCAATGGTGGGTCCAGCTGTTTAAAATTGCCAGGGCGTTTGGGTTGTACTTTCCTTCTCTTACGTTTTGAATATTATTTATTCAAATTATGTTATCAAATAAGATTTAGGATATGGCTAAATATATTTGAAATAGCTGATATGCTTTAACGTTTTCAAGAATTGACAAATTGTTACATCTTATTTTTTAAATTAATTTTAAAATATTTGGATAATAAGCTTATAAGCTATATTTATTCATTATAAGATTTTATTAAATAAAAAGTGGGGTCAAATATTTTTACAACATATCTTAAAAGCTCTTCAGTAGCTTAGATATTTTTTATTTTTTTTCTAAAAAAATTTCATATACTTTAAAAGACCTAAACATCCTCTTAACTCATTTTCTACTTAAATAATTATTTTATTATTATATAATTTGATTTTATTAGTGGAGGTCAATTAATTGTATTTTCAATTTTACCTCACTTTGCATTTTCCCTCCCAAAGTGACCAAAGTGGCATTGTCGCAGTTCCATGTCCATAAGAGGGTAATACTGGTAATTTATATTTTTATGTAATGAAGAATTTATGTGCATAAATAATGTGAACCGGTTTAGATAATTCTGAACAAAAAAAATCGGTCTGCTGTCGGAGAAAGAAGCGAGTACAACGCGTTGAAGCATATTCTCTCTCACCGTTGTATTAATTATTTATTATATTATATTATATTATATTACGCCCCCATATAAAGGTGGGACTCTATTATGTACAACTGTAAAATCAAGCATGACAACCTCTATTTATTTTCTTTATTAATTAAAAAAAAATTATTTAATTTTTCCTTATGACTTAATTGCTATACTTTCTACCTTAATTTTATACTATTTCTTTTAAAGTTTAGACAGATTTAAAAAAATCTAATATTTATTTATTTTTTTGAAATTATTTCAAAATTCAAATAAACTCATATATTTCAAAAAATTTGAACATGACAATTGAGATGGACCACAAAATTATATGATTGATTGATTGATGGAAAATAAAATTCAAAAAATATATTATAGTATTTTTGGAAAAGATTTCATATTTGCACGTTGTTGCTTAACACAGACTTTTCTTTCTTTTTTTCTGAGGACGTGCACCAATTAATTAATTAATTGAAATGAATAATCAACGATTAGATTCAACGGTCAGGATTTGAGCCAGCGATGCTGTGTTTCAATATCAGCGGCGCAAGCGTCGGGTCAAACTTCACGTGTGTTGGCAGTGGGTAGGGGTTGGTGGGTTAACGGGCCCTTTTTTCTTTTCTTAACGGGTCAAATCAAAAATTCACATTCTTTTACCCAAACCAATTAAGGCCTGGTATTGATTAAAGATAAAACCCAAAATTTTATAGGCTTTTGGCCCAAGGTGGAAATAAAATGGATATTTCTCAATTAATAAATTGCTTTGAATTTCTTTTTTTCCATTCCATATTATTTATCATTTAAAATTTAAATGATACAGTGGATATATATATATATATTCCATCTTTTTTATCATATATATCACTCCTAATTTATTTTTCTTAACATTTTTCTCTCACATCCAAACAGTTATTAGGTTTAAAATTTGGTTGGAATATTCATGTAATTACTTGATAAGTGGCAGCTATGTAATTATTGTTTGTATGTGTATGTGAGTGTCAAAAGTGTGTATGTGTGTGTGTCAAAAGTGTGAGTGTGAGTGTGTGTGTGTGTGCGCCAAAAGTGTGTTTGATGCATGCATGTGTCTGAAAAGCGTGAATATGTGTAAGTGTGAAAGTTAAGTATAATGGATTTTGAACCATATTAGTGCAAATATTCAACCACATAAGCAGAGATATTCAATCATATAACTTGAAATATTACTATACATATAAGTTGAGTTAATCTTCCAATATTGAATCCATGCATGTGGATCTGGTCCCGATCGATCCAAATTCAATTTACTTTAAATCCATTCATATAGGGTAATTTTATCCGATTCCTTTTGAATCAGATCCAAATGGACACAGACCTTATCCACTCTAAGTTGAGTAAATCGACACCCCTAATGAAAAGACTAGTGTATGTGGATATATAAAATAGATAGGTACATATATGCATATGCATAAAAACTAAAAATGGTATTGTCCCTTAGAGATAGGACCAAAAATCTTTTCTGGCTTATGCTTCTTCCATACTAATAGACGAACTTGTACCATGAAGTACAATACATCTTATTGAACTTTTTTTTCTCTCTTTTGTTTTTACTATATATATTTGTTTTCTTGCGTTACTGTTAGTGTTTTTTTAAATTTAAAGTTGCAAACATTTTGTTGGAACCACGGCTGCAATTTGACGATTGATCACGAAACTATGTGGATGAGGTTTGGACTCCATTTGTTCTCTAATTTTATAGGTAACAAGTTGCTGCAATAAAAACCACGATAATGTGGAGATAGGCAAGGTGAGGCGCGGACTAGGTCGCTCTCTTAAGACGAATTTCACGACCCCTTCTCTAATGAGGTGCAAAAAGGTTCCGATCGTGTCGCCTATGGGATACAACAGCCCAGCCTATCTCTCCGCTGTAACTTCACTGAAATTGCACGTTCGAGTGAAGTAGAAGCTTACACCCGACACACAACAAAAGCTCAAAGTATAAGTATATAGTATAGAAGAAAAATGTTTCTTTTTCTCTTCACTCTCATATCTTGTAAAACCACAAAGTCCCCCTTTTTATAGTATAAAATATGACCACCATAAAACCTCTATTTAATATAGAATTAAAGGAAAATATTGAGGTTTTATGAGACAAAATAATGCCTTTGGAAGTTTCAAAATTTTGTTCTAAATGACCTTATAAATTGGTCAAATAAAATATTTAATAAAATACTATTTTTATTAAAAATCCCAACAATCCCCCACTATTTTTAATAAAAATAAGAATAATAATAATACTTGAGCTCTTGCGGAATATTATGCATAATGAAAGTGGACAATGCCTTCAAACCTTCACTTAGTACAATATGTTTCCCGTACTAGAATCAAAGTGGACTTAGCCTTCAAACAGTGACCCTTGGGGCACGTAGAATCATATTGCACACATAATACTCAAAGTGTCCCGATCGAAGCTTCTAAAGCCAGCACGTTAACGGCCATGTGCTTTACCCCATTTCTCGTGAGAGCTCTAGAGAACAGCCTATAATTCTCATAGGAAGCGGCCCCACTTCCACACTCACAAGGTGAATTTTATCAAGGATGTTTACGTAACTCCAACACCCCACCCATACGGGCTATAAAATTCATTAAGAGATCAAAGTCTCAACTTCACAGTTCGTTACGAGCTTTATTAGTGCACACGCACCATAGGGATGGATAATAAAAGTGTGCACTTTTATCTCAATCAAGTTGCTTTCAGATTCGTTTTTCTTCGCCTAGTTCGTAGGATCTCTAGCCCCTAGGCGGTAGTATCCTCATCAACAACTTTACAAAATATATTAGGCTTTAACCCAATCCCCCTCAATGCATTTCAGATTATTTCTGAAATAATGTGAAATATAATTTTAGTCCCATAGACTTTATGGTTTCTTAACCATTTCTCATATAATTTCACATAAATTTTCACGTGAATTTTCACATAGATTCACAGTACTGTATTTTCTTTTAATGGTTCCGGATTCCATTAAAAGATTCTCGCAATTTGCCAACTGCAGTTTTTCAATCTCATTTATCAAAGGACAAAGCATTTGATTTATTCTCAATCATATTTATCAAAGCACAAAGCATTTGATTTATTCTCAATCATATTTATCAAAGCACAAAGCATTTGATTTATTCTCACTAGGATTTATCAAAGCACAAAGCATTTGATTTATTCTCACTAGGATTTTATATATCACATTCGATATAACCCGGCCTCTTCATAGGCTAATGTCAAAACAATAAATCAAAATTGATATGAATTTTGACTTTTAAATTATCAATATATATCTCATTCACACAAGGAAAACATGCACTCAAATAAGAATAGTTTTCCTCTTATTTAAATTTTCAATAACCAACAATATTGAAAACTTTCAAAAACGTTTTACTTCACCCATCACAAATCACAAATTTATTTTCACAAATCAATATCCACTTTTAGGCCTTTCTAAATAACATCTATGTCACATATATGCAAAATTAGGCCTTTGCTAATTGCTTGCACATTCAAGATTGCAAATAAAGCAAAATGTATCACAATATGACTATAAACAATTTACGATCATAAAATGAGCAATTGAGCTTAGACCACATTAAAGTCAATTAAAACATGCTTATATAGGTAGACTCTAAAACCCCCACTATTTCTCAATATTTAAACAATACATAAAATATTTAATCATATGATCATGCTCTCTACAACCTCCACTATATCAAATATTCAAACACATGCATCATGAATTGACTTCAAAATACAGAATATCATGCTCATTTTCACAATTAGAGAAAACTATAATACCCCCACTATTTACGAATCAGCGGCAATTTAGCAAGCTCACATTTTTGTAATTCCCATTTTCAAGAGATAAGCACATGCAAAGTTAAATCTTATATTTTCCTTTTTTCTGTACAAAACATGCTTTATCTATATTGAATATATCATAAATTGCAGCAACAGCTTGTAAACTTCTATACATGCATTGCTATATGTATATGAACGTTACGTTAATGCTTCAAATATATTAACACAGTCAAAACATGCATTTAGTTTCACTATATAACGGCTGTGTCATGTGAGGCTCTCGGCTCTCAATACAAAAAAACATTAATACCCAATTATGAATTCTTAATACTAATTGAATATGTAATCAATTCTCAACGTTCAAGTAAATAATAATCCTTCAGAATTCTAATAGAAGCAAAATGTTTCACTGAAGAACAACATACTCAAAAGCCAAACGTACAAGTTGAATGAACCAAATTTTAAACTCATGTTGGCATGCACATATGCAGATTGCATTCACTTATGATAATAGGTCCGATGTATGAATACATACGGTGTTGCAATTATATACTCATCCAATTCCAAGAATATAATGTAATAATAATGATAATAAATTAATAACAACATGCCCAACATAGAGGCACGAATGCACATGTTTATACTCCTCTAATCTCAAATTATTTATGATCATCAATCATATTAAAGTTTCCTACTATTGTTCATCACACATTTATCATGCAACATTATTACTCAATTGCAAAAAATCATAATTAGTATTATAAAAGAATAACATACCAGATTTGATAATTCTCAACTATCAATTTTTTTCGATACCTCAAAAACGCGCATAATTTGGCAGCTGCGGCAGTGCTCAGTATTTGGGGCATATCTCTCTCGTTCGATGTCCGATTTCAGTTGTTCAAGATGTTTCGAATAGCCAACAGAAATGCCTACAGCTTTCGTGTTTTACACATTCTCAAATTCGGATATTAGCAGGTCCGAAACTGACCTCAAAGTATAAATTCGTGAATTGTTAATAGATTCACCTACAACAAAAAATAAGATCATTAATTTTATTTCGTCAACACAAGATATTAATAAAATAAAATGAATTATCTCCCTTTTCATCATCAATGGTTCTCTTTTGGATCATCGTCAAAACTCATCTTCATGGGATCAAAAATTCGTCTTAAATTGTTGGAACCACGGCTGCAATTTGACGATTGATCACGAAACTATGTGGATGAGGTTTGGACTCCATTTGTTCTCTAATTTTATAGGTAACAAGTTGCTGCAATAAAAACCACGATAATGTGGAGATAGGCAAGGTGAGGCGCGGACTAGGTCGCTCTCTTAAGACGAATTTCACGACCCCTTCTCTAATGAGGTGCAAAAAGGTTCCGATCGTGTCGCCTATGGGATACAACAGCCCAGCCTATCTCTCCGCTGTAACTTCACTGAAATTGCACGTTCGAGTGAAGTAGAAGCTTACACCCGACACACAACAAAAGCTCAAAGTATAAGTATATAGTATAGAAGAAAAATGTTTCTTTTTCTCTTCACTCTCATATCTTGTAAAACCACAAAGTCCCCCTTTTTATAGTATAAAATATGACCACCATAAAACCTCTATTTAATATAGAATTAAAGGAAAATATTGAGGTTTTATGAGACAAAATAATGCCTTTGGAAGTTTCAAAATTTTGTTCTAAATGACCTTATAAATTGGTCAAATAAAATATTTAATAAAATACTATTTTTATTAAAAATCCCAACACATTTTGATCAGATAAAGTTTGTTTCTGAAAAGGGCCAACTCTTTTTCTTTTGGAGGGCAACTACACAGAAATTGGCAGCACAAATTGCTTTCACTCTTTTACATGTAACATTATATTCCATCTTGCATGTGTACTTAGTAAAATTTTAGATGGATGGTTGATTCATCCCGAGGTAAGTTAATTTACGAAAAAAATCCCTTTTGTTTGCGTATTTACAATCATTCCTTAACTATAAAACTTCTAATACGTTCATTCTTGATGTTAAATTCGACACAATCTTCTAGATTCAATAGAATATTCTTTAGTTTGTGTAAAAATGTTGTTTCTTATGTACCACAATCTGATATTTACAAGGCAAAAGACACATCTTTTAATTATCTTGTTTCAAAATGTGGAGTTCGAATAGAATAAAACTGATACAAACTGGACAATGTGAAAACATAAACTGAACCGAACATATAAGAAAATTCATAACTGCAAAGTGTTTGTAATTACCCAAATATGAATTTTTTTCTCCATAATTTGACCATATTTTAGAAGGATGACCGCAATTTACATTATATATTAAGCGGTAGTGTCCAAAAAATTTGACAGGGCCGATGGAATGGTTGGAGCAGTGGAGGGACACACAAAATTCTCTTAACTATAATTAATAAATAGAAACAATTAATCTATTCTTTTGAGATGCTACCTTTATTTTTTCTATTGTACTCCACATGTTAAATCAATATTTTATTGAAGAAGAGCAATATTATTTTCATAATTATTTGTTTAAATTTTTTTGGCCCTAAAACCCAATTAACATACTATGTTTGGGTTGGCCCAAAGGAACAAGAGTTATCACTCATGAGCCTATTATTATAAGCCCATTTTAAATTATATATATTAGTTATTGCACGTTTATTGACATTAAACAAGACCACGAATTATATATAGTAATTTTTTTAAATATAAATAAATTAGAAAAAAAAAATTGAATTATTTTAAATAAATTAATATAGTACATTAAACGAAGGCTATGGAATGTATAGTAGCTTCAGGCCTTGGCTTTTAATCTACTATCAGAAAAAAGCACTTCTGAAGCGCTGCAGCCAAAGAATTTCAAATTGCCGCAATTTTTTAAGGTCCCCCCCCCACCCCCACGCGCGTATAAGAATTTCGAATTGCACGAACTATATTAACAACTAAATTGAGCTAAAATTCGATTTTAGATTTTGAATAAATATTAGTAAGATAATCCAGACAGCTATATTCCAACACAGGGGGTAGCCGTGTTCCACGCGCCTCGGAAGTGGCGAAAACCCAACATTCGACCCGACCCGAATAAATGAAACCCGAACCCGGAAAAGAAAAAAAAAAGGAAAAAACCTCGGACGACGAGAACGACCTTTTTTCCTTGTTCCCGCTTGAATGCTTATCGGGTACTCTGCAAGATTCTGTCACGCGCTTCTGCCCAAGCCCGTTAGGACACGAAACTCGAACCACGCGCCCTTTTGGAGCGTCGAGTGACGGGACCCTACCTCACGGGTGAGGCTTATTTCTAGTTACTACCAAATCCTTGTACTGCCCTTTTGACTTATCTTTTGGTCAAAAGCTACATTAGTAATTTCCTTATTTTGATTATAATTTGAAAATTCTTGATTTTATTTATCCTTTTTAAAGAAAATTAGTGAAAAATAAAAATATGGCAAATGCAATAAAGTGATTCTTAAATAAGAAGAAAATAAATTTTTATATGAACCTAATAAGGAAAAAACAACGGTGGGAATTTAAAAAGTCAACACTATCATTTAATTTGCGAAAGAATAAAAAATGAATGACTAAATATATATTGAATGACAACTCTAGAAACTAGATACTAGTGTATACTCCGTGAATTTAAAATCGTATATGTACACATAATTGCATTTACTCTGACGTATGTGTTTAACGAATAGTTATTTATTTAAATTTACGATTCAAATTTACTAATAACTAGATGTAAGCATGTAACTCCGTGACAACTCATTATAGTGTAAACTTATATACACATAGGATGAAGTATTATTCAAATATATTATGTTTAGCATACATCTATTATATATTATTCCATAAATTTGCGCACATGGATTAAATTTATGGAAAAATATAAAATTAGTGACGAAATCAGCCCTTGTCAATAAATTTAAAAATCATGAAAGAAATTTAATACTCGAAAAAGTTATAGTAATAATTAATAAATAATAATTGTAAAATCGGAAAATATATATTTAAAAAATTCAAAAATAATAGATAGTATTAGTAATTAAGTTAAACAAAAAATAGTTCCGTTAATTGAAATCGGGGTTCCCAGTTTCCCCCATGAGCAACGCTCCGAAGTGGGATTTTGTGCCCAATAGGCAAATGCAAATATATATATATATATATATATCTATATATAATCGAGATAAAGAGAGAATTAATGGCGATTGGGCAACACCGCCACCCAGTATAAGGTAACTGAGCTGTCTCCCTCATATATTAACCTCTTAAACACAAAATCCAACATCCCATTCTTCTGTCACTTCCTTCCTTTCTCTCTCTATGCACAGATAAACTACTCATTCCCCTCTCTCTCTCTCTCTCTTCAAAACTCAAATCTTGTTTCTCTTCTCTGTGTGTCTGTGTGTGTTAGTACATACATATACATATTATTTAGTATAGGGAAAGCGGCGCGGGGCGGCCATGCATAGCAACGGTAAAGAAAAGGTGGTGGTGGAGGTGGTGGCGGCGCACAACCTGATGCCGAAGGACGGCGAGGGGTCTTCGTCGGCGTTTGTGGAGGTTGAGTTCGAGAACCAGAGGCAGAAAACACAGGTCAAGCACAGAGACCTCAACCCCGTCTGGAACGAGAAGCTCGTCTTCCACGTAAACGACGTCGCAGACCTCCCTTACCGCACCATTGAAGTCAACGTTTTCAACGAGCGGAGGTCCAACAACAGCCGCAACTTCCTCGGCAAAGTCAGGGTTTCCGGCTCCACCATCGCTAGGGAGGGCGAGGAGATGCCCCAGCTTTACACGCTCGACAAAAGGAGCCTCTTCTCGCACGTGCGGGGTGAGTTGAGTCTCAAGCTTTATCTCTCCACAAAGGAGGAGGTCAAACAGGTTATCAATGGCGGCGGAACCGGAGCTGTCGTCTCCGGCGGCGGTGGTTCCGGCGGTGTGGTTTCTAAGAAAAACAAGAAGATGCAGCACCAAAGTGGGAACATGGTGGTGCCGAAGCAAATGGGCTCGGGCCAAGAAAATAATAAAATGGGCTTGGGTTTGCAGAACAACCATGGCCATTTGAAGCCCGTAGAGCCCGGTCCCGGCGACATCAAACCCGTCGTCATCACTACTGTTCCAGGTCCAGTTACTCCCACCTCCGGCGGCGGCGCCGCCGTGTCCCACCACGGCGGTGTTAATGGCGGCGGCGGCCATTTTCGCGGTGGGTTTTGTAACGACTACGCGCTGAAAGAAACAAGCCCTCACCTTGGCGGTTTGAACAACGACAAAACAACCTCCACCTATGACCTCGTCGAGCAAATGCAGTACTTGTACGTCAGAATCGTCAAGGCCAGAGATATCTCCGTCTTTGGCGGCGGCGGCGAAGTGGTGGCGGAGGTGAAACTCGGCAACTACAAAGGCATAACAAAGAGGGTTTCTTCGGGGCACGCAGAATGGGACCAAGTCTTCGCCTTTTCCAAAGACACCATACAGTCCTCCGTGGTCGAGGTTTTCGTGAAGGAGAACAACAACAAAGACGATTTCTTGGGCCGTGTTTGGTTCGATCTTAACGAAGTCCCCAAACGGGCCCCGCCCGACAGCCAGCTGGCGCCGCAATGGTACAGAATGGAGGACAAGAAAGGCGACAGATCAAATCCCAAATGCAGTGAACTCATGGTCGCTATATGGTTCGGTACTCAAGCAGACGAAGCCTTCGCCGAGGCGTGGCATTCCAAAGCAGCAAACGTGCATTTGGACGGTCTGTGTTCGATTAAATCGAAAGTGTACCTCTCCCCAAAACTATGGTATTTGAGGGTTGGTGTCATCGAGGCACAAGATGTGCTATTAGGTGACAAAGGGGCTTCCATGAACATGATGAGGTACCCCGAGCTTTTCGCCAAAGTACAAGTCGGAAACCAAGTTTTACGTACTCGAATCGCATCGCCCACAGCTAGCCGGAGCCTTGCTAACCCTACTTGGAACGAGGACTTGCTCTTTGTAGTCCCTGAGCCTTTTGAGGACTATTTGTTGATCTCGGTTGAGGACCGTTTGGCACCTAATAGAGACGAGCTAGTCGGGCGGGTCATTTTGCCCATTGGAAATATCGAGAGGCGGTTCGACGACAAGTTTGTTGTTTCTAGATGGTACAATCTCGAGACCCACGAATCGAAATCCGCGGTTCGGTTCGCCTCAAGGATCCACCTTCGTGCTTCGCTCGAAGGTGGTTACCATGTTCTCGATGAGGCTACAATGTACAGTAGTGATGTTAGGCCCACTGCAAAGCAGCTGTGGAAGCCACACATTGGTGTTCTTGAAGTTGGTATATTAGGTGCCACCAATCTCATGCCAATGAAGATTAAAGAAGGGAAAGGAGGGTCCACCGACGCTTACTGCGTGGCCAAGTACGGGCAGAAATGGGTCCGGACAAGGACTGTGGTCGACAGTTTGGCTCCGAAGTGGAACGAGCAGTACACTTGGGAAGTTTTTGATCCGTGCACGGTTATCTCAATAGGGCTTTTTGATAATTCACGGGTCGACAAGAGTCCAACGGGCCGGGATACACGGATCGGAAAGATCAGGATCCGTTTGTCGACCCTCGAAACTGACAAGGTCTACACCCATGCGTATCCATTGTTGATGCTGCATCCATCAGGTGTTAAGAAAATGGGGGAGCTTCATTTGGCAGTTCGGTTTTCATGCGCGAACATGTTCAATGTGCTGCATATGTATTCAATGCCTTTGCTGCCGAAGATGCACTATGTGCAGCCGTTGTCCGTCAGCCAGCTGGACGGTTTGAGGTACCAAGCCATGAACGTGGTCTCGTCAAGGCTGAGCCGGTCCGAGCCACCGTTGGGGAGGGAAGTGGTTGAGTACATGCTGGACCACGATAGCCACATGTGGAGCATGAGAAAGAGCAAGGCTAATTTCCTTAGGCTCACGAGCGTTTTGTCTTGGTTTGTTGCTATGACTAGGTTGGTGGAGACTCTGATGACGTGGCGCAAGCCGGTGTACTCCACTTTGTTCTTGATTGTTTTTACAGTGCTTGTTTTGGTGCCGGAGCTCATAATCCCGTGTGGGCTGCTCACGTTGGCTACGATGGGGATGTGGCGGTACCGGTGTAGGCCACGCCACCCGCCCCACATGGACACTCGGCTCTCGTACGCAGAGAGCGTCCATCCGGATGAGCTGGATGAGGAGTTCGATTCGTTCCCGACGAATCGGACGGCTGAGATCGTTCGGATGAGGTATGACCGGCTCAGGAGTGTGGCGGGGAGGATACAGACGGTTGTTGGTGACATGGCGACTCAGGGGGAGAGGTTTCAGGCTTTGCTGAGCTGGCGGGACCCGAGGGCGACTTTCTTGTTTGTGATTCTTTGCTTGATAGCTGCCTTTGGATTCTACTTGGTGCCGATTAGATGGGTGGTGACTTTTGGGGGTTGGTGGTATTTGAGGCCACCCAAGTTTAGGAACAAGTTGCCTTCGAGCGTTGTTTGCTTCTTCAAGAGGCTGCCCACAAATGCAGATAGCATGTTGTAGAATATGGCGCAGGGTAGGGTGTTTAGAATCTGCACAGTAGGGGGTTTTATCGGACTTGTGTTTGTTTGTAGGTTTATTATCTAAGGTTGTCTTTTGTAGGAGGGGTTGATGGTTTTTCTTTGTAGGGTTAAGGTTGGTAAGTGTAACGCTATATGCGTTACTACTGTCGGAACTGATGAATTATTTCAATGTCTATTATGTCTTTCGTGGTCGTACTTTTCGACCTAGTTAATATGCAGTTTGTGTAATTTCATGCAGTTTAATGATGTTTTTGGGCCGATGACATTTATCTACTGGTAAATTTGATGCTTAATATATACCTTTAGGGTGTCTTACAGTAAAAACGAAGACAAATGAGGATCTGTACCATGAGGAAGACCGGTTCTAGCTCCTAAAGCTCTGCAGCCAATAGCAGCCTGAAGTTTGTGAAGAAGTATGGTATATAAGTTTAAACTTGGCTTTAACTATTTGAGTAACATAGAATTTTTAAAAACTTACCACTTGAGCGGCGAAACGCAGCATCTTTTCAGGCGGCATGTTGGCACAAAGAGCTTCGAAATCGAAATCACCATTAACGAAAATATAGCATAAACCAAGACAAAAATTCTCGAATTATATAGTAGAAAACTGTCAGATTTTTATTATACTGATTAGCTTACTAACCATAAAGAACAGCACCGATGAATGAATCACCAGCACCAGTCGTATCAACAAGTTCTGAAGGCGGAATCTTCTCGGCTGTTCCTAAAAGCAGCTTGCCCCAAACAGTCCCTATCCCCTTGGCACATAATTTCACCTCACTCTGGAAGATAGTATCATTCGACAAAAGTCAGATCAAAATATGAATAATCATTCGACATTAGTAAGTGTATTAGAACAATGCAGGGATAAATGAACCATGTGGTGTGTATTCATTGCAATATAATTTGCATTTCTACCAGTTTATTGAGTACTTTTAATTAATGAAGTCATGAACCTATTTAGCCTGGAAAATACAATACATTGGCAAAAAGAAAGATTAACGACCAAAAAATCTAAAGTTGCACGAACGCTAGAAAATTGTAATTCACTAAAAAACCAGCGAGTATGAAAAGGGAAAGTACCGATGATACACATATTGGCGAAGTTGTATCGTTGCTCATTTTATTCTTCAGTGTGTACAATAAATCATCAACATCCACTTCTTCGGACTGAACATTTTCTGCAAACAATATGAAATAAGACATTAATAAACAGGAAAAGATAAAGAGAGCTCCAATTTCCGCTATATCTAATAAACAACCGATAACCGAAAGCCTAATGAAATAGCTGACATACCACACACACCCCTCTCTAGCATGATGCAACCATCTTCACCTAGTGTGACTATAACAAATTTGACTTTTGGCAACTTTAGAAGCATTGAACAAAGTGCGCTTGGGACAGATGGAGCACCTGTCCATGCCTGTCACACAAAGAACAGATAAAAGCTCGCCCTACACTCACTGGTTAATCTATTGTTAACCGTTATTGCTTCTAACTTGTCTAAGTCCGATAATAAGGATTTTGCTTCCTACAGAACCGCAAAATAGGTTCATCATACTGGTAAAACTCACCTGCGGAAATTTTGCAGCACAAATGACATAGCTAGACAAACTCAAAAGATCATCCAATCCTTCTCTCTTCCTTTCTGCATCAATTAAAATAGGGATACCTTTGCAAGCTGCCTGCACCGGGAAATCAAGTGAAATTCTGTTCACTCTCAAGAGAGAATGGTTTCAAATTAGTGACGACTAAGAGAATTCAAAAAAAATGAGAACAAGCCAAGTTAAAAATAACCTCCCGAGCCACAACTAGAGCAGTTTCGTGTAGTCTTCCATCAAAATAGACTAGTCTTGCCCCATCCAATGCTGCTAACAATTTAGATTTCGTTAGGTCACTAGGTATCATGGGAGGATATCCTGAAGTAAATACACACGTTCGAGTTTTCCTGAAACATCAAAGGAGGGTAATCTTGAAAAGTGAGTTCTGAGCATATGAGCTATTTCGTTAACGAGAACCCATTTTTTTGCTTCTACGAATGTGCTCAATAAAAAAGTATAACGAGCATATAGATAATTCAGTTCACTGGAAGTAAACTAGGAACGATTCAGTGCATGAGGCTTCTACCACATAATGCAAGGTAACTCAATATCTACTGAGTAACGAGGCCAATAAAATACTAAAATAACGAAATATTTAGAAAACACTCACGTTTGGTTGTCAACAATGACATAGGTGAATGGCGACCTGCCCCCTTTAGAAACCTGAAGGAAAAAAATAATGCATAGCACATTACGATGATATGGCAATGTGGAATGACGAATATGAAAATTAGCAGAAAAACTTGCGGCACCCTGTTTGAGCTTGAATTTCAGACAACAAATTTTCAACTGGGCTAGGGTGATTTTGTCATAAAGTGTGCTAAGCAAATACCCATTTAACGATGTCCTAATAGAAATTACACACCAAGATTAAAACCAAAAAAAAATCAAACTAGTACCATCACAAACGACGAATCAACACCATCAGCCTCTAGTTCCTCCAGTATTCTTTGACCTTGAGAATCATCAGCAACCTAGCCAAAATATGCCACATTTCTATGCATTAAGTATATAATAAATCTCCAGACAATAAAAGACATTAGAAACCCCAAAAGATCAACGGACCTTGGAAATGAGCCTTGGTTTCAAACCCAATCGAGCGGCACAAGTCAACGCATTCCCCGCATTTCCACCACCTTGAACCTATCCCCACAAAACCAGTAATGGTATTATATCAAGGGGAAAAGGTACATTTGGCTCAAAATGAAAAGAAAAATAATCCTCTCTAACCATAACTTACATCTAAACTAGAATTCCCTATTATTTGAGCTGAATTAATAAAATAATATCATTGATACAGCACGAAAAATAATTTTGTATTGTTTAACTGGTAAAATTAGCATCACCTTGGCGCTGGTGGTTCTGATCTTGTCACCAGGTTTTGGATAAGAAGCCACCGCCGCCAAAAAATCCACCGTTACTGATCCGCAACCCAACTGCAAAATCAAAGCACAACGCACTTCATCAATCATCATAATACACACAAAAAAAAAAATATATAAATGATCACGACGAGGTTTCGGATTGTTACGATGACGCGATTATCCGCGAGAGGAGGCGGCGCGTCGGACGACATTTCAGACCTGCAACAACAGAAATACACGATCACTCAGAAATTCATTCATAAAAAAAAAATACATATATTTTGACATCTACACGAAGTATGGCTTCGTAATTCATGCAATTCTGAAATTCAGGGAAAATGAAAGCGAAGGATGTTCGAGAAATTGCCTGTGAGAAATGAGGCGTGAAGTAGGGTTGGAGAACTAAAATTGGGCGTGGATGCTTTTGTTATTTGTAGTGGCGATGGCATCGCCATTTTCGTTTTGTTGTATTTTTGTGCGATCAGCAGAGTGAGGAATCGTTTACATGGAAAATTAAATTAAACACCATGACAACTTATGGGATAATAATCCTTAACATTTAATTATCCTAATTAATATTTAATTATCCTAATTTATATAGATAAAATCGTATGTTTCCTATCTAGTACTATTCAGAAAACAAATGTCAGCTACTAAAGTATACAAAGTTACATAAATCATCATTCAGATTTGATCGTACTTATCAAAAAATTCAATTAATCTCATAAATCATAAACACATCACTTAGTTTCGGTATATAATTTGTTACACCCGATGAAATACATCGGGTAATTTTAATCAGTAAATCTATAAAAAAAACACAAATTGTTACAAATTTTGCATTTGTTAGCACTTGACATTAAAAAAAAAGACACTAGAATTAAAAATCCATTGGCATATACAAACACTAGAATTCCAAAGTCCAAATTACAGCTTAGTCCATATATAAGTTAAAAATGAATTTTAGGATCAACAAAATTAGAAGCCATATCTCATTCCATTCCCTCCACGCCAAATTCCCAACACCTAAAAAAACCACTACATTCGAAAAACCACTCATCTCAATACCAATGGTCCTTCGTCACTATACAACTTTTAAAAACGGAAAACCACATAAACCCTAAAACGAACCTTCACAGCCCGCACCACCATCCCAAGCCCGTTTCGCAACATAACCCCCATGCTCACTCACACTCCCCTGCAATCTATAAAAAGACCGATTACTCCTGATAGTCCTCAACGGCCCAGATCGATTCCCATGCCTGATTGGCATCGCAACGCCGCCCGAATCAAACTCCTCAAGTGGGCCCGAGCTGTACTCCATTGTTATGAACGACGAAGCTTGCCCGTATCTCAGACGGGGGGTGATAGCCCCCGCATTCCACCAGCTGCTATCTGACTGAGCGAAATCCCCTTTGCAGTCGGAGTCGCGAGCGGAGGACTCTTTTAGGCTGAGAGCATCGGCACACGTCTCGTCTGTGTCGTTGTAGATGAGCTTCAGTGCCTGAACGACCTCCCCCATGAATGGTCTGTGAGTCACCTCCGGGTGAACGCACATCGAGGCGATTGCGGCGACTTTCGCCATGTCATCGAAGTCGTAGGTCCCGGCTAAGGTGGGGTCCACTAGCTGCTCCAGGCCTTCTCGATTGGTCAGCATGGGCCGGGCCCATGTAACGAGGTTTTCTTGTCCAGGAGGCTGTGACATGTCAACGGGTTTCCTACCTGAGAGCAGCTCCAATAAGACAACACCGTAACTGTAGACGTCGCTTTTGACCAGCAGATGTCCAGTCATTGCGTATTCAGGAGCAACATACCTGCATCTCACAATTTTCAAGGCGAAATCAAAATCTCGAAAACAAAACGGCTTTGCAGATGAGTGGAGTGAAAATGTTTCTAGCGTAAGTAACCTACCCAAAAGTGCCCATGACTCTGGTGGATATGTGATGACTCCCCTCTGTTGCTTCACGTGCCAAACCGAAATCCGAGACCTTGGGGGTAAAATCGTCTTCTAGCAAAACATTGCTAGCTTTGAAGTCTCTATGAATAACACGAGGATTAGAATCTTCATGCAGGTAAGCTAATCCTCTTGCTGCACCTAGAGCAATTTTTAAACGTGCATCCCAATCAAGAACTCCCTTGCTATTATCACCGCCTGAAAACATCAGCCACCAGTTTGAATTATTCTAGAAAGACCGTAAAAAAATTGCTATAGTTCTCTTTTCTTCTCCTAATATCGTTGTGAAGTTAAAAGGTAAAGAGGGGTACCATGTAACTGGGACTCGACACTGCCGTTTGGAACTAGCTCATAGACCAAGCAGCGCGTGCGTTGCTCGACGCATATGCCGATTAGTTTCACAAGGTTGCGGTGATGCAACCGGCTTAGCATCTCGATTTCCGCAATGAATTCACGGTCTCCATTTTCATTGCCCTTTGTCAGTAATTTCACAGCAACCTCAGTTCCATCTTGCATAATCCCGTGATAAACACGTCCAAATCCTCCTTCGCCCAACAACTTCTTTCCGCTGAATTTTGCTGTGGCTTTTTCAAGCTCTGCCAGGGAAAACGTTTTCACGGAGAGAACAGAAGCGGGCATGGTTGAAACGAGAGAGGCTGAGATTGAGCTGGTGGGGCTACTTGACAGCATAGACCCTAGTCCTGCTACACAAGTTTGAAAAGGCAAAGAAAAAACCAAGAATGTTAAAAATCTTCTATCACTTATGAAAATTGACACGCTTTGACCATCAGTTTCTACACACACACCACTCTATCAAATTGTATATATGCTAGACATGAGTGTATGCCAAGCAAAAATTAACACACATCATGGTATTAACTTCTCCATGCTTAAAGATGTAGGCATACCAGATCTTTTGTTCAGGGACGATGTGAATGCTGGACCAACAGCATTGGACAGTTTGCGTGCACTCTTGCACTTTAGTAGGACAGCCACTGTGGCACAACAAACCACCAAGAGAACAAATGCTGACAGAGCAATGACAATGATTATTCGAGGGTTCATTTTCCGGTTTCTGCCGACAAAATCAGCACTGATAGGGTATTGCTGATTTCCAACACTTCCAGTAGGACCGTCACCAAATAAGCTGCCAGATGGAGAAGAAGGTAGCCCTGTATGAAGTTCTTTTTTAGTAGCCAAAACAGAAATCAGGTAATGGTAGAACATGAAATGTAATGGTTTTAGATTTACCTGGATAAGCAATGTTAGTTACATCGTAATCACCAAAAAGCGTCCTATTCAAAAGCACTTTCTTGTGCACAAATCTTTGGTATGTCAGGATAGCAGTTGTATTATCAAACTTCTCCCCAAGAGGAACTAAATTGATATCAACCACTGTTCTTTCCGGATTTTGAGTATCAGCACTAGCACCAATTATTGCTACTTGGCTTTGTTTAAGATATGTGCCAGCTGCAACCTCAATTTCTAACTCGGTGACTTCCGGAAAGATAGCATAGAGAGATACCCCAAGCAAAAGTCTGACTCTCATTGGAATTACGCACATACAGGGTGAACCAAATGGAGCTGAAGTAAGTGGCTCTACGCAAGTTTGACCGCAACCTACCAGATCAATATACCAAATGAATGTCAGTATCACGAAGACAAGAATAATATAGTGACAGGAATGTAAAGGAAGAAACGCGGCATGTGTATATTGGGAGTGCCAATTGATATTCTTGTGCTTAGAATAAGCCGTTGTTGGAGCCAATGCTTACACAGAATGCTCAGTGTTTCACACTTGAGCTACCTCATTGAAAAATATTCATGTGTGGAGCAATTTTAAACCAACGCCATGTTGTAGTTCCTTGCTAATACCTAGTAGTTTCATCTAATGAAGAATCATTGAATAGTTTTTTTGTTCTTATTGGCATCAAAAGACTCCTAACCTTGGACAGCATGCTCATTTACTAGACACTTCATTTCCTTCACTATTCTTATCGCAACACTGGACCATATAAATCCTGTCAGAAAATATATTGAGGGATTCTCAGCTAGATTATTACCTTGAGAGGTGGAAGGAGACGGAGAAGCTACATGACCTCTGATTTTATGCTGACGGTGGCGATGCCTAGGCAATTTACTACTAGTAGGACCAGCAAGTGGACCTAGAAAGAGTTTCATATCAGAAAATAGCTGAAACATTTTTTCAAATGATGAGTCATTTTGACGAGCATCGTCAATACCTTGGGAAAACGGAGACGGGGCAGGTGCAGGTGCAGGTGATAAGTATTTAAAATGGTGCCCCCGGACAGCAACATATGGAGTAAAAGATGCACTTATCGATGAAGTGCTCACTGCAAAAAGTAATAACAGCTTCTGTATTAGTATGACTCCTACATCTTTGCAACATATGAAGGGAATAAAAAGGAGATAACACCATTGCCAGGCATCAATTGGTGTTTTTACCAGATTCGGTGAGGAACAGTTCTTTATCCAACAATCAAATAAATTTGAACAAATATCGATAAATTGATAATTCTTCAATTACCATCTGTTAGAGAATTCTTCCGAGCAAATGATGGCAGGGGTAACTGAGATGGAGATAAGTAGATGGCTGGTGAAGTAGTCCCTGAACAAGAGAAAAGTAGGTCAAATCGAAATTGGCATTAGAAACTATGCAATCAAGCGATGAGTTTACCCTCAGTTACACAAGAATAAGCCAACAGCATTTTCCATACGAGGCCCTCAACTAGAATATCTAATACACTTGATTGTTATCGAGGCATTTTGAAGTTTATATATGTCCACCGATTATTCTCATTTCAGATTACACATTCCTCAATCATATGATTAAATCAGTTCACAGTTGTGAAGTAGGGCTTGTATGGAAGAATTAGAATAACAAGCCCCAGTAATTTCACATTCCAAACATAATCTAGTTGTTGGCCTCTTCAGAATAGGTTAATTTAATTTAGCAAACGAAAGCGAAATCGGAGACAATGACACAAGCCAGTAATCGAAATTTCCCTTCAAAAATTAAAGAGCGAAAAAAGAAAAAAAAATATCCATCTAAATTCAGTTCAATATTTTCCACAGAAGGTAAAGTTAAATGGGACAATGCTCTTGAAGAAAATAAATTGAGAAAGGGCAGGAATTACCGAAATTAGTAGGAAGCAAAGTGAGCAAAGGAAGAAGAAGAAAAATGAGCATCTTCTCTCTCCAGAATGGAATTCACACACATTTTTCTCAAACAACAAAAACGCAGCCGGTTGCTCGGAGCAGCAGTTTAGGGCTCCGGCGAAGCTCACAGCCGCTCCCATTCACTTCACCCGGCAGGCACGAAGTTCGCATGTCGATTACCCACACACACCACCGACAAAATACACGCAATTCGAAGCACACACCAAAAAAAAAAAAAAAACAGAAACCCTAACTCGAAAACAGCAATGCGAGCAATTCCAGCTAACAGCTCACAGATCCACGAAGTGCGGCGGAGATCTGCAGCAAAAAAATCCCGTCGGGAGGATGAAATGTGGAACAGTGAGACAATTTGGATCTTGTGAAAGTAAAAAGTTGAACTAGGAAAAAAAAAGTGATGTTGAGGATGGGACTTTAGAGAGAGAGACTGTAGAGAGAGAAAGTGAGACAGGAGTGAGAAGAAAAGGGAGGGAAGAGTGAGAGTGGGGGGTGGTAGAGAGGATTTAATGACGGTGGAGCCACCAGCAGTCTGTCCCTACGGGTAAAATTGATGACTGTCTGGTACACGGACAATTGACGCGCGTGTGATCAACGCACCAATGATAGGCGTATTTGACGGATGAGATGGATTTTATTTAATTTCCGGTATTGTTGCTAATTTGTGTTCCAATTATCTTTTAATCCGAACTCTAATTAAATTGACAAAATTTTGTGATTGAATTTTTCCTAAAGCTAATTTTTTGCACAATAATGTTTTAATTTACTTGCATCAACAAATTAGTCTGTCTAGCACTAAAATCCATAATGGCAACATGGCGCATTGTAAGAAAAATGTTATTTGAAAAGAAAAAATATTTTTAATCAAAAAATGCTTTATTTATTGGGTATGTTTTCACCGTAGTGATGGGCCTCAGCCCAAAATTAATAATATCCTTAAATCATAAATCCAATATATGGGATTAACCCCGAAATTTGATTTATTTTACCTCATTGGGCCCATTTGAACTAATTGAATTTAATTAGGACCCAAGCCCAAATTGTCTTACTTGTGGGCTAGTTTCCTTATTTTTTATTGTTTAAAAAATTAATAATTTAATTTAATATATATATAATTTCCTCTGAATATTAATCACATCGTGCTCAACAAAAATTGATGTTTCCAGAACACAAGACGAAGGAAGAAGTGCGCCAAAACACCTAAAAATCAATCGGAGGAGATCGAATTGTTGTAGTTAACCGATTCCGTCGACCAGAGTAGAGCACGATGGCAGCCCCCAGCGGCGGCGGAGGTGGCAGAGAAGGCTCTGCGAAGGCTTCAGTGGCCGATCAAATCTCCCAGTCCGTACAATCCACCTCAAATATTCTCCACCTCATGCTGCAAACCTCTCCAGCCCATGTCAATCTTGATTACCCTAGTTTTCATCTGGAACTGAATTATTTGTCGTTTCTGTTAATTATTGCTTCAATCAATTCTGTAACTATTTCAAAACGATTGATTTTACCGTGCGTAGTTGTTCCGATTCTCCAATTGAATACTGAAGGAGTATAAGCATACGTCATTTGTTGTTTGAATATAGTTCATCTGAGGATTTATTGCCTTTTACCTTCCATCATCTTCTTTGTTGGTTTCTGTAGTGGAAAACGGCGCCGTTTTACCTTGGTTTGTCCCAGTTTTGGGAGAATTTCAATCTTAGCAAAAAATTGTTATATGATGGACTCAATTGTTAATTAGAAGTAGTGTTTGGTGTTTAGGTAAAATGGAGCAATGGTAAATCGATGGGGATTCATATAATTCCCCTAATTTTGACTACACAGTTGCATCAAATAATCTCGTAGTTGTGTATATATATTGCTCGTTTTCGTTAAGCAGTCTGTCGTTTGATCTATACATTAATTTATTCTTTCTGATTATGTATAAATCTGCAGGCGCAGCTAATGAAGCTTCCGAAAAACCTTCTAGCCAAAACCTCTACGATAAAGAATACAGAATTGGTAAGCACATCTCCAACTGTCGTTTTTGTCGAATTGATTTCTCTTTTGAAATTATTTTCTCTCTCCTCACCGTGGAAATTCTTGAACAGGTACTGGAGCAGATGCCTCGAGTTATCTCATCACTGGATGAACATGTGGAGAGCGGACTGCAAAGGTCATATCTAGTTTATTTTCGTCTTCGTTCTAGTTTCCAGTATTTTGCTCTTTAAATCATCTGATATTGAACTCGAAGAAACTGATAAAAGAAAAGTGCTATAGTTTGAGGTTCGAACAATATAAGATTCAACTGATGATCGTGTTTAAGATGAAACAAGGTGATTTAGAAACTCTTGGTACTTTATCAAACCACGTCAGATAGGATATTATAGAAGACATGTCGAATGTACATTAAACGATGAGCCACATTCTACACTAGTTATATACATGATCTGCTTTGCATCGTGGAGTTGGCAGGGGCGGGGGTGCAAATCGGGATTAGAATTTTTTTCGAGTCTAAGAAGAAGAACTTCAATCTTTAGTAAATAAGGTTTGTAGGTTATAAGCTATACCCCGAGGAAAAAATTGTCAGTACCTTGGTTAATCATTTGTTCGGCTGATGTCATTTAGTAATTTCGATACATTAATCTAGATACTATATTGTTCGTTAGTTCATAACTATGTTCATTGAAATTTGTAGTAATGTAACAAAGCTATTGAAACCATCCCATTGGCAATAAATCGCACTTTTATCCCCGTGAAAGAGAAAACGTGACAAATATAGAATTCGATTGAAGAAATTGCTAGCTTTTATTTATCTGTCCTATATTTTTAATTTAATTTATTTTGTTATGTTCAAATTTTGCAGTGCCCCTCATCTGAATACTGTAGTCCAGTTACTTTCCAACATGCAAAGCTGCCAGCTCAAGTCTTTGTCTGTAGCTCCGGTTACTCAACAAGTACTTAACTGCTGCTCTCCTCTTCTATTCTTGCACAACTCTTGGAGTAGATCTTGATCATTCATTCACACACAAAAACACACACACCCATGTTGGTGTGTGCACATGAAAGCTGAGGATGTACCCGAGATGTACACTCTACCGTACACCGGATAGATCTTTATCATTCCTTCACAAACAAAAACACGCACGCGTTTGTGTTTCTTCTCAATAATGACTTGCTTAATTTTGCAGGAACCCGGAATTTTAGAGCAACGTGTACAGGTGAACGATCAACCTTGAAAATTCTTGCTAAAACCTTTGGATCGGTTTTTGATTATGGTCCCAATGTTTTGAGATTAAGAGATATTGAGATAACTGGATCAAATAGAAGTTCAAGTTTATGTAACTCTTAAGGACTATAATAACAAGTTTTGATTTTATTATCTTTTTAATAAAAAAAAAAAGGTTGCAATATAATTTGGGGTAAATTACGGCGATACCTCTAAGGTAAGGTCAAATTACGAAGAAAAAAAAACCTCTTGTTTGGTAATTACGATTACCACACTCAATTATGAATCTTCTTACACGTCCACCATAATCCCTTATGGTGTTAAATTATAACATATTTTTTTAGATTCCATTGAATGTTCTCTAGTTTGTACTCGTTTTGTGCAGTTTGCGATGCACCTATATTCTGATATTTACAAGTCAAGAGACAAATTTTATGATCATCTTGTTTAAAAATGTGGAGCTCGAGTATTGTAAAATTGGTACAAATTGAATAATATTCCACATAATCTAGAAGATTCCACTAATCTGGTATTGCAAATGGTAGACGTGTAAGAAGATTCATAATTGATGAGAGAGGTTGTAATTACTGAACAGTGGAGTGTTTCGTAATTTGATCTTACGTCAGAAGTGATCGTAGTTTACCGTATAATTTACTAATTTTAAGTATTGGATGCATGTTATTAAAGCTTAGTAGTTGGTTGCTATAGAACAGTAGTGCTGTCAGAGACGATGATATTATTCGGAATTATAGTCCACCTTCGTTGAAAAAGAAGCACCATTTTTGTCTCAAAAATGCATGTGACCACTATCCAACTACAGAAATATGTTACTATATTTATATATCTATTAAATATTTTAAATAAATATGGTAAAATAATATTTAATAATTGGTATTCGTTGCCCTTTTAATCCAAAAAGGAACAAACCTTCAAACTTTTGGTGTTTGACTGCAATTTTAGTTTTTTGTTTATATATTTATTTATATTCATTAATTACAAACATGTTTGTCATTGGGTGTATTTAAGTGCCATTATTTGGGCTCAATAATGTAACCTTGTAAATAATGTGCCGTCATGATAAAAATATGATGAATTGACCCAGTCAAAAAGGAGCATTGAAAGCATATTTCTCTACTGATATAAAGAAGTTTAGTTTGAATGGGGACTTTGCCTTTGACCAATAATTTATCCTTTTCCTAAATTATATCCATTTTTTTTCTCTCTTAACCAAACATAAAATAACGTTTTACATACCCTAATGCAAACAACATGATTAGTCCTAATTAGCCCGCATCCGTATAGTTCAACTGGTTCCGGATGTTAAGTTACGGATGCTAAGTTAGTGCAACGTTCTAGAATTGAGTAATTCACAGTCGCAGTGTGAAATTTCGACTCCAACAAGAGTTGATTTCTGATGGGCATCAAACACAACTCGACTACGCTAGCGAGGCCGTTGAGTTACCATTACTTATATTCTTCCATTAAAATTTTGTCGAACTGAGGTCAAGGGTTTCGCCTTTGTGGTGCAAGATTAGTCCTAATTAATCAAACATGCATTCAAGAAAATTGCACTAGTATTGATGAAATCAAGAAAATAAATTTAAAAAAAAAAAAAAAAAAGAAGAATTAATTATAATACATAAAAGGGTAGAAGCTGTCTTTTTTTTTTTTGGGTCCTAATGAATTTTATCAGGCGATATATGAAAAGAATAATTAATTAATTGAAGTACTGTTACATTCTTGAATCTACTAATGATTAATTATGAGGAAGACGAAGAAGAAGGAGAAGAAGCATGAAACTTGTAGTGTTTATCGACGGCAATAGATACATCCCAAGTGCAGCTGAGTCCCTTTGGGAGGACGACCAGATCTCCGGCGCCGAACTCCACAACTTCCGCCGCCGGCGACTGTTGGTCGGCGTTTTTAGGGTAAACCTTCACTCTCCCACGCACCAAGTAGCACGTCTCTTGAGCGTCGAATTTCAGCTCGTATTTCCCAGGTGGGCAACCCCATCTTTAATTCCCCAACAATTTAATTAATTAGTACAGCAGAAAATTCAGACACTAGCTACAAAACATAGTATTTTATGATGCATATATTATACACACACACACATACACTAGCTAGTGTGTACACGTGTGTGCGTGTGTGTGTGTGTTTGTAAGGGCTTACTTACTTGGGCCAAGATTTGATGCCGAGTTCAGAAAGTTGAGACTCTGAAGGGTTGCTTTGTACTGTGATTCTCAGATTTGATGATTCTCCTGCCATGTGTGTGTTTGTGTATAGTGTGTGTTTGTGTGTGTGAGAGAGAAGAGAGAGAGAGGTAGTAGTTTCTTTTCTTGGTTATGGTTTATTAAGGTTGTGATGACATAAGAGGAAGAAGGAATGGCATCACTGGTAGCTAGGTTTAATTAAATAGGCTGCAGAGAAACAGAATATTATATTTATTAATAATAAAACTGTTTTTTTTTTTTTTTTAATTTGTAAGGGAAAGTGTGTAGAAAGAAAGAAAGATAAGCAAGGGTTTGTACATATATAAGAGGTTAATGTACACGTGGGTTCTTCTCACCATAAATATCCTTTGACCCATCACATCATCTACACCATACATTGGCTCTTCTTTTTTCTCCAATCTTTTTATTATTATTTTTTTTAGTTTTTTTTTATACCATAAATTGAGAAATTTAAAAAGATATAATTAATTAACATATTTTAACATTATATATATATATATACACACACACATAGAGTTACAAATTATTTAGAGGGTATTTGGTTACGAGTATTCTATGCTATACTATGCTGTAGTATATCGAGTAATTACATAATACATATAAAATTATATACTTAGAGAGCGTTTGATTCAACTTATGATTAAGTTTTTTTCAAGATATATCGGGCAATTATAGGAGGCATCTAACGAGTATTCGTTAATAATTTAGTGTCAATTGAACTCCGTCTATTTTCATGCATTTAATCCGAAATATCGTAAATTTTATTTTGAACCAACTCCTTCGTTAAAATGGTCAACGTAAACTATCGACTAATATGGTTAACATATAGTCGACTAATTAGTACAATCCAACGACACTTAAATACGGTAAATTAGGTAGGTTAACTAATATGTTGGTTTTTCAGAAAAAAAACAAAAAAAATAAAACATATAGTAATCGACTATATTATGTAACTAGTTTAGTTGACTACCACATTAGTTGACTATATACGATTATCTTAGAACAAAATGATGCCATTGTATTGTGATTACACATAGAATTATTATAATATACATTTTATTTAATGATAATAAAAAAATAATAATAATACTAATATATATATATATATATATATATATATATATATATATAATTAATTACAAAGAGGGTGTGGATAGGATTCCTCCGGTCAAAGGGTTTGACTATATCCATATTTGTTTATTAACCTGACAAAAACATGTACGTGGCAGAATAACAGTGGTTGGCCATCAATCACTGTTTGACCAAAGTCTCACCAAAAGATGATGGTAATAATTGTGTAATAATATATAGATAGTGACTTACAGCAATCATACCAACAAATCCGTTGTAGTCTAGTTGGTCAGGATACTCGGCTCTCACCCGAGAGACCCGGGTTCAAGTCCCGGCAACGGAATACTTATATTTTTTTTAGCGTTGTTTTAAAGCACATTGAACAACAGCCCACGAGCTTTTGGGCCTCTGCCCAATAAGAAAAGTTATAGACTTGCTCATTTTTTAATATATTAATATTACCTTTTTTAATTTTTTTTTATACATGATAATTAAATATATATTAATACAATTCATATTCATATTATTAACACAGTTAGCATATAGATTCTATATTCTAATTCAACCTGTACCAGTTTGTAACAAGAATAAATATTAGCAAATCGAGCTCTTTTAGAAACCGGGCTCGTTCAGAAGAAACAAACGCAACGCCGGAAGTAAATGTAATCTTCAAGATCCAAATAATTCCGATAATTGATTGACATACACAACAAAGGCATTCAGCTAGAACATCAGTATCAAATATAACACGAGTGCTGCAATTTCCCTATCATCCTCGACTAATTTGTACTCGTTGCAACTGTAAAGTAAACAATAGTTATGTGCAGTAGGTACATTAACTCGCATAGACGAGAGCAGAAGCTTGTTCCAGCCAAATACGAGTGCAGGAAACATATAAATACTAGCTGATAAGCACGGAAAACAATTTTGTATACTGATTACCAAAAATCTATTTTTCTTTGCACAGACATGTGTCAAAAACCTGCTTTAAAATCACTGCAGCCTATTTTTTCACTATCCATAAAAACTTATATATATCAAAAAGAGTACCTGCAAATGCGGAGGCAAGACCGCTGAGAAAATATCGGACCAGGAGACAAAGGAACATCCAAAAGCTCCAGATAAAGACATACTCTCAAACATCCAACCATCAAACAGAATCTCCGACAAATGATTTAATACTTCATTGAAATTGGCAATTAACTAGAACTAAATAAGAATTTAAAAGAACAAGGGAAAAAGAATGAACTTCTTTTACTGTCAAGATTATGATATAATTTCATGATTCAAAACCTTAATTCATAATTGTCTAGGTTGGGACATTGCGCTTATCTGGAACCATGCAGAGATCTATTTACTTTCCAGTCTGACATAAAGATTCAAAACCCGAAATTAATAAAGAACCGACTAGAAGAAATAAGAAAATTTAAATTTTCAAATTTAAAAAAAAAACAGGATTTCTTCTTCTATACATGAAACCTCGACAAAGAGGCACTTTGTGCACTTAGATTACAAAAAAAAAAAAATAACTGTTAAGAAAAGAATCCAACTAATGTATATGATCATGACAAATATGGATTTCCCTCCCAATCCTAATCTGATATGTTCACATCATTCGTTCATGAAAACTCAAATATCAAACAGGGTACCTGTGTCTATAGAAGAAGGTTCAGGCGAAAAGACATTCCAAACAGGAGACAAAGGAACTTCAAAAACTGCTGGTAAAGAATGATTCTCGAACATCCAATTGTCAAACTGAAAGTCCAACAAGTCGGGGCCGATACTCCCAGGAAACCGATTTTCGTTATCATTAATTAGCGAGGAATTATCTGTTGTTACTACGTTTTCTTGATGGAAATTGACTACAGCTGCTATACTTTGATGGTGATCGTTGTTTATTGCTATACTCTGATGTTGAGAATCATAAGCTGGTTCTTCACTTTGACATGGAGAAACCTCAGCATGAATCTGCATATTTCCATGGCCGATAGAGGAATCCGAAGCGAACCCAAAATCCGTTGGACTCTCAGAAATGCTATTTTGAACGTGGTTTCCTTGCTGGAAAGCATTCTGCCCATCAGTAAATAAGGGAGTACTATTATTACTATGTGCATCAGGTTGAGAAGACTGATTCCCAAAGCTATTATCGACATGCATATGAGAGGAAACCAAACTTGTATTCAGTTGATCGTGGAAATGATTGACAGCATCTGACTGGTAGGAAGGAGCCGTCTGTGATAGTACAGGTATGCTAGGCTGGTATAAATCGAGCTGGGGTAGAATCAAACTCTGAAAGTTCTCCTCACTTGGCTGAGATGCTACGTTGGTTTGAGAAGGCACTGCACTCGCAAAGTTGCTTCTCAAATACGGTTGAGAAGACACCTGAGATTGGCCATGTATTGGATCTCTAATCAGGGAGTTCGAGAACGGCACTGACTGAATATGAGATTGAGAAGGCAAGTAATTTTCACAACCAACATCCACGTTGTGTGGAGAAGACGACAAATTAGGCTGGTGTGGAACAGAATGAGCAGCGGGACCCAAAACACGTTGCGGATTCGAACGATGACGTACATTCAACAGGGGAGTTTGTGATGACCGAACCGTCTTATCTCTAGATAATTGAGACCTATATGCCTGCATATTGTTTGATGAAACCCCAGCCGGACCAGACCGCTTGAAGACTGCATGTGGTGGAAAGGACTGCGCACTTCGGCTTCCGCCGCTTGAAGGAACCTTGTTATTACATGTACGGTGTAACTGGGGTGGGGCTAACGTTCTGGGAGCAATACGTCCAGAGAGGCGGACTACGCCTGGATTGACAGTATTTGGCACACTAACACTGGATGAAATAGAACAAGGACGGAGCGTGACTGGATTCAAGACCTTATTCTGCGGCAAATAGTTTGGCTGCGGTGGAGCGACTGCTCGAACCTGACTTCTTTGGAAGAATGCCTGTATAGTACCATACTTACTAGGAATAGTTGGCACAGCTTTATCAACTTTCCTCATACGCTTTCGCTCAGCTCTCCAGTATTCATCTTTATCGTTAGCATGACAATGATCAATACTGGAAATGCCATTGCCCCAATGGGAACATGGAGCCAGTGAGTCACAAACATGACAGTGACACTGAAATTAACAAATTTACGAGTCAAAAGGGGAGTTTTTTCCTTGACAAGTGGACATATCAAAGAAGATAAAAATAAATAAAAAATTACCTGGCCACAATGGACCCCATGGGGGGTAGAAGCGAAGGGATATATAGCGCAATGATGCCGTGGATGAGGAAAGTCTCGACACGCAACCTATAATACAAAGAGAAATGGATAATTTGATATTAACCAGTCTTCAATAGTCAAACGAAAAGGACAATTTAACAATAAAAGTATACTTGAATAGATTTTAGTCTATAAAAAACCAAAATAATAGTAAAACGGAATCTGAAAAGAAGTAATACATACAACAACACTCCATGTATCTGATCTACTATTTCAAGAATCGTTTTAGAAAATACACTCCCACAGCTTAGTTAGTTAATTTATTGTCATATTGGAGTAATTAAAAAAAGCCTAGTTATCCTACACCACTGGATCATCATCAAGAATACACATTCTCAACCATTATTTAATGGCATTGACTGTGTACCTAAATATTGAGTTGATAAAGCGGCAGCTACTTGGTTGGTCACAATTCACTAAGATCTCCACTTATAGATCAACTTCTGCAGCTGCACACATTTGCTGTTACGAGAACAGAAATCCCCTGATCATCACTTTGGTAGAAACATAGTAATACATAGCACAATTATAAATACAAGTTTAGTTTTTAAAGGCAGATGTTCTCCAAAAACAATATCCAAATCTGAAGTCTAATTATGTGCAAAATATGATAACCAATCGAGCACCCTTCTCCAAATCTAACAAAACAGAAAGAATGTTCACATAGAAAAATTACAGTGACCATATGCAAGCAAAGCAAATAGCATATTTCAGCACATCTGATAGAAGAAAAAAAATTAACCACTTCATAATCAACAACTACATCGTGAGTAACTACTCTAAGCAATAATTTCATTCTAAATACACGTTAGATAAAAAAGATAAACACCAAAAAACAGAGTCTTGAGTAAGTGAGTTGGTTAAAAAAAAAATACTAAATAAATTATTACCTCGCCCTTCTCGCCAACGATTTCTAGGTCATCTGAATCATCGTTATTATCGGCTTTAGCGTTAAACACCACCATCTGTTTATCCGGGTCACCGTCCAAAACCACACAATCATCATCGTCATCAACCACTTTAGCCAATTTTAATTTCTTAGGGTTTCTCGGAAGCACTTCACTCACAAACACCACGTCATCTGAATCGTCATCGTTTTTACCACCCACCTCATCTAAAAGCTTCGACAACCAATTACAATCTTCCTTATCGCCGTACTCACCACCGCCGCCGCCTCCGTCGACTCCTTTCCTCACGCACCCGAAATCCGACTCCTCGTCGGAGCTTATCTCCAGTACCAACGGGCTCGAATTTTCCATCAATCTTCAAATCTCACCAATTCCTTGCAAAAAATCCGAAAGAATCCATCTTGATTCATCCACCCCACACCTAATTAAACTGCAATAGAGGCTACGATTGACCGAAATTGGGAATTTCTTCGACAATAATTCTGACTACAAATTAGGGTTCGGAATGAAGCCAAACTACCGACTGTAAATAACTTAAAAATTGCAGATAATCTTCTTATATAAACAAAAGTGGGAAGAAGAAACCCTAATTACAGAAGCGGAAAAGGAGGGTTTTCAGTTTCAATGCGGAGAGAAGACGTTTTGCTTGAAAATCGGGGGCCGACGACGACGACTTGCATTCTATTTTAATTATTACTAAATTGCAAAATACACCCCCGAATTTATAATGTTTGACTCTTTCACCACTGACTTAGGTTTTCTTGGAAACTTTCCGTAATAAGCAACCTTCACGTGTAGTAATTTACTAATTTACCCCTGGAATTAAAATCCACCCTTATAAACGGTAATAATATATATACTTGCTTAGATTAACAATCTTCAAAAACCAAGAACGCCGCATTCGCTTACTCGCATGTGCGTGCATGCCTCTCTCTATCTCCCTTCTCTCTCTCTCTCTCTCTCTCTCTCTCTCTCTCTCTCTCTCTCTCTCTCTCTCTCTCACACAAACACACACACACACACACACACACACAAAACACACACACGCCCATTCATTGAAGGTACATTCATCATGTAAGGTATACATTCATTGATCGCACTTTTCTATTAAAAAAAAATTGTGAATCCGCCATTGTTGTTTCTTCATCTGCTTCGTGGTTTATTTTTCCCCATTCGTTGGGTTTTCCGTAATTTTTCCTTAATAGGCAGAATTGGGTTTTTCCGTAATTTTTCATACAAAAAAAAAAAAGCCCATGTGTTTGATTTCCGAATTAGAAACCAGAAAATCAAACGCCCATCCATTCTGAATTTGTTCCTTTTTTTTGTGCTAATAGATTTTAATTCTGTCATAAAATTTTGGGGGCAAAAATGGAAATGGAGGCAAAAGAGATCAACGGCTACATTCCTCAAGAACAATGGTGGTCAGCACCAAATTCTCCAATGGTGGAAGGAGCTGATCAAATGGGGGTTGACTCACTGACCGATTCACATTCGGGCAGCCCGGTTTCGAATACTCCGAACTGGGAAGCCGAACAGAGGCACAGGCGTAGCCGGAGCGAGATAGCGAGCTCGTTTTATAGGCGTAGCAGTAGCACTATCAATTTCCAGAAATGGAAGTCTCAGATGCAGAGGGCTTTGCAGTGGCGTAGTCGTAGTTTTCGCGACGATAGGGTGTATTGCTCTTTCGATCCCGAGATTATGGCCAATCAGAAAAGGCAGTGGTGTAAACTCCAATCCAAAACATTGGTACGGAAATTCACGGTTCGAAATGTTTTGATTTAGTTTGATTATAAATCACATTATTTGTTGATTAATGAATGTAGGATCCTGATCGATTTAAAGAGCCTACGTCGTTGTTCGAACACTTTGTAATCACGGGGCTTCGCCCGGACGTCAATCTTGAAAGGCCTACATTCCCGATTATGGAGCCTCAGGTTTGCTATTTTCTCGATTATTTTTTGCAAAGGGAAAATCTTTTTTTAAGTAATTAAATTGTTTTTCTTGATTTTGTATCGAATATAGGTACTGTTTATGTATCCACCTGGAAAAGAGATGGCTTTGCGTTTGCAGGATTTGGCTGCGTTTTGCTTTCCTGGAGGCGTTAAAGTCGGTGTTTAATTTTCTTATCGGCTGCGATATTTACTATCTTTAATAATTTTTTATTTTTTCGATTTCTTAATTCTTCATTTTGATTTCACGATACCTTTCGATTTTTTTTTTCAGGCTGGTGTATTGGAAAGGACTTCGTCGTTAACCGAGTTGAATGAACTAATTTACGGACAGGTATACATAAACGAAAATGCTGGTTTTCCCCTTTTAATATTTCCTTCTTCTTCGATAACCGTTGATTGGTTTTCGAACTCGTATTTCAGGAACACTTGTGCAGAGATGATTTGTCGTTTATATTCTCACTCAAGGTACTAAGTTCTTCGGTTTCTGTTTTATCGTATCTAGTTTCTTGTTTCGATTTTTTATTACCAAAGCCCAAGTGTCGACTTTTTTCAAACAGGTTGCAGATAATGCAACACTTTACGGTGTTTGCTTGCACGTGCAAGAGTTCGTGCACAAACCAACCGCCATTTCTGTAGTTTCGTCGCCGCTGCCACAATCGAATTCCGCCTCCAGCAGGTCTTTAGTCTCCGCCCCCCGCTGCTATTGCTTATTGACAAAAGTACCCTTCTTCGAATTACACTACGAGATGCTGAATAGGTTCGTTACTATCCCCATCCGAAAAACGAATTCCCGGTTTATCGAATTCCAACTTTTTGATTCCGCATGCAATGCAGCATCATTGCGCAGGAGCGTCTGCATCGGATCACGCAGTTCGTCAACGAAATGTCTCTTTCCGATTACGTCCCTTCTCCAACAATCTCGAAAGACGGTAACACAAACGGGAATGCCGACTCACCGAATTGGGAACTCAGCTCACCAGGGAGTGCCACTGCTAGTGACACGTCAGATACTAGCCACGCGAAAGAACTGGATAAAGACGGTGACAAGAGCATATTTTCTTTTGACGTTCGTACCCCTGAGAATTCGGAGAAGCAATCCGACAGTTTAGAACAGATGTACGGGGTTAACTGTAATGACTGCACTTCAGAAGTGGGCCCACGTATATGCAAGAGGGATCCATCGTGGGAAACTCTTCGAAGTATTAGGACTTCATTTAGGTGACCGAATAAATACTTTTTCTTTTTTTCGTATTTTCGTATTTTCTTATTGGTTTTTTTTATTATATATAATATAAATATATTTCAATGAATATGTTAAATTTTATTGGCAGTTCAGCTAGAAGTATGGTATCGGAGGATGAAGATGACGAAATATTTTATAATAATTATAAAGATCCTACCGATGACGTAACAATCGAATTGGCAAGTGTGAGTTTATAGAATTTGTTTGATTTATTTATTTTCGTATTAATCTCTTGCTAATTAATCTGATTTCCGTATTAGGAGAATAAAAACGATTTGCTACAGATAATTAGTGGTTATTATTCCGTGCCTCTCCTTGCAAGGGGAAGCAAAATAGTTTTTCAGCCGTTGGAGCATTTGCCTCCGATCGAGTATCTACGCCCTTCTGTTTCCGATGTTGGAGTGTGCGGAAAATATCTTGATTTGAAATTGCAAGATCCAAATGAAGTCTCTCAGGTTAAACTGATTAATCGATATTTAGTTGAAAAAAGAAAAAAATAAAAAAGTCGATCTTTAAACGATGGGAATTTGATTTGATTGGTCTCAAAGGTTAAGTTAAAATTAGCCGCTGCCGAGGAAGCTCATTCACTCTCTCTGTGGTCGACAGCTACCATATGTCGAGTCCTCTCTCTACCGAGCGTAATGTTTCTTTAATTTTAATTTTGTTGTTCGTACGTTCGAAGTGTTCGGTTGTGGATTTTTATATATTGTTTCTCGAAACAGGTATTGGCCTTGGTAACCGGTATGCTATTGGAGAAACAAGTCGTCGTGTTGTGCCCGAATCTGGTAAATCTTTCTTGAATGCCATAATAAAATAATTTGAAGCAGAGTTAGTTACTTACGTAGCTTTTTTCTGCGCAGGGTGTTCTATCGGCTGTGGTGTTGTCGCTAATACCTATTATACGCCCATTCGAGTGGCAGAGTTTATTTCTTCCAGTAAGTCTCGTTCTTCACTTGTTCTAACTGGAACGGTCCGATTCAGTTACGTAAATTCTTTTTTCAGATTCTGCCAGTGAAGATGCTAGATTTCGTTGATGCTCCTGTTCCTTTCGTTGTGAGTTTATACTTTATTTTTCTTTCATTTTTCTCGTGTAATTGTTGAGTGTATAATTCTGCAATTCGTTAAGTGATGAAATGGAATCGCACAATAAACGTGTATGTATTTATATAGGTTGGTGTGCAACATAAACTAGCTGATCTTAAGATGAAAACAGGGGACCTGGTTCAAGTTAATGTAGTCAAAGACCAGGTTGGTCAACAAAAAACATCTCGTTCTTTTCGAAATTCGACTTTTTCAGTTTCTATTTTCTAACTTTATAATCTGCATCAAAACTCGATGATCAATCTTTATAATGGTTCGTCCTCTAATGCACAACTTATCGTCGTAGGTGAAAACTTGTAATCTGCCTCAACTTCCTCGACATAAAGAGCTTATGTCGGAACTTAGGCCGAGCCACGCCGTGTTATCACGCGAAGAGTCTATTTCTCAGAAACCAGTATATAAATGCAATAAAGTGCAGGTATTTATTTACACTTTGTTATACATTATAGTGTGCACCATTAGTCTACACTTCATATTCTAAGATTATATACGGACTTACAGGCGGAGGCTGCCGGAGAATTCTTAGCTGTGATGAGGCGGTACTTGGAATCTCTTTGCTCCGACTTGTGGTCGCACACAATTACGAGTGTCGAATCCAATAATGACAGGGTTTTTATTTCCTACTTTGCATTTCGATATCTATACATTCAAGAATACACACACACACACACACACACACACACACACACACACACACACACACATATATATATAACCAAGAATTGTGGTGTGTGTCAGTTGAAACAATTACCTGTGGCTAATTTCAGGTTTCTATACTCCTTAAGGATAGCTTTATTGATTCTTTTCCTGCTAGAGATCAGCCATTTGTTAAGGTACTAGAGCACTATTCAAATTTCTCAGTTTCTTCGAAAGAGAGACCTTTCCTAATATAGTATGCTCTGTTTTTTTTGGCTTCTGCAGTTATTTGTGGAAACACAGCTATTTACTGTTCTGTCCGACTCTCGTCTTTCAAGCTTCGAGAACGAACACAATTAAAGGCCTAGCAATTTCAGTTTAGAAAAAACTAGAAGAAAGATCAGAGGTTCATCTGTGAGATCTCCTTTGTGGTTTGATGTCCCTCAGATATACATACATACATACACACACACACACAGTCAGCATAAAAAGTCTATGACAAAGACATTGTCAAAGGCGCTCTATTTTCGTTTATTTTGATTCTAAGTGTATATAGTTTTTTGTACATTGTACAGAACGCTGTTCACTATGTCAGCTGAAAAACATCCAATGTTAACCGAAATTTTCCTCAATCCCTTAGTTTCGCATTTCCATAACATGTCATCCTTTTTCATCAGACGAACGTAGAGAAGAAAAAAAAACGAAAGAGAAGAAGAAAAAGAAAATTCATTGGCAAAAGCTGGTATACAACATGTTATAAGTCTAAACTAGTTGTAATTACAATTGTATTTTACATTTAAAAAAAAACTTAGTAAGGGGAGAGGGACCTCATTTTCAGATGGGTTCACAATCATTCAACATAGATTAAACAGATTTAAGATTAATTGCTGACCGTGAGAAAGAGATCGATCACTTCTTCTCTTCATCCGAGTCTGAGTCAGCAAACACAGTCTCAGGCTGTGTGTCTGCATAAGCTGGTGCTATATACTTCGGATCCTTCGCCGCCATATCAGCATACTTCAAGATAGCCTCTCTAGGATCCTCATCCATCCAAGTTTCCTTAATCAATCCACCTTGCTGAAAACGAGGATTCGAAAAACGTGTATGAAAAAATTATCACATAAAAATCTCAACTCTGTTTCAAGAATCAAAGCATAATCCGAAAGTTTACCTTCATGAGATATTGTGTCAGCAAACTTCCCTTGGTGGACCCCACTCTTCCACCAAAACCAGGCCCCGTCATGGGTAGCTCGGGCTTGTGCGACTTAATTGGGTCCTTCAATATCTTCTCACGCTGTCGTTTACGAGTCGGCTGATCTCTGAATAGAGGCAGTGCGTGAGGGTTGTGAATAACGGGGTTTGCCTGGAAATCGTCGACGGACTGCTTCCTCGGTGCACGTGCAACACATGCTAGCGCTCCCTTCTCGCTGATGGTGGGGTCGTATAGTATGTGGGTCCCACCTTCATGTCTGTCACCTACCGTTGCGAAGATCTACAGCGTTCGAGATTGAAAAGTCAACACGTTGACCAGTCCAAGGATGCGACAGTATATACACATATTCCACACACACAGGTCGAAAGAGAATGCATATCATGTGAAATGACATTACCTGATTTAGCTTCGGATGCCATGTACATTGGACTACACTAAATGTGGGAGATATTCCAACTTTTGAAATCAGTTCCATTTTCACTCTGTCGAAAAAACATAGCAGCCCCCCTGTTTTGCTGTTCTTTTCAACTGATGTTCCAGTCAAGAAGAGTTGTTCATCGGGGCTAAATGAAATATTTGTCTGAGGATAATTATTGGGGAGATCATCAAACACATGAAGAACCTCCTTCATTTGACGTAAATCCCAAACCTAGTACACATGGTATGTAAGAAAATTAAGTGATTCATCCAAACAATAGGCTTTAACGAAGAGAAGGAAAAAAATAAAAACATAAAAGAAAAGGGTAGGTTTCTACAGTAGACTGCAATGATACCTTGAGTGAACCATCAAGGCTTCTTGACAAAAGTATTAATCCATCACTGGAAAACTTAAGCGCTGTAATATCGTCCGTGTGTCCATTTCCAACATGTATGTCTGGCCTGCTTCCCCATCCAGCTTTGACGTTCCATATCTGTAAGAAGATGTTATTGGAATTAACTGTAAGCAAATACAAAAATCATTGAAGTTTTGTTATATATGATCAATTTTAGCTGTAATTCAATGATAACATACCTGTATCGAGCCATCCCCTATACCACCTGCAATTCGTTTTCCATCACAGTCCCAGGTACATGTGGTCACAGGAACTCTTCCATGTCTAGAAAGTTTGGGTTTAATAACCTATAAAGAGAGATACAATCAGCACAAAAAGGTATTATAAAAATATTAGTTTCCTCACAAGCCAGTGAATCAGATATTAGAAAAACTGATAAAATATAAATACAAAGACTGTTCTGATAAAGAAATTAGATCCGTAATACAGCAACCAGATATACCATATAGTACTGTTCATATTACTGGACAAATCATCATAACTCATAAGATGAATTTAACATCATCGTGCGAACGCACAAATTAAACAAAGAATTCCAACTAAAATGTACGGTAATTTCCAACTTAGTGCAACTGCAAGATCTTGACGTGAATTATCAGTCTCTCCCAGTTAACATATTGAACATGGTACAGTTGTTCTCTAATTTTTGGAGGAAAAAAAGGGAAGACAAAAAGTAAATAAGTTAATTGACACATAGAATCCTTGTATTTTGAACATATAGATACCTAAGATTAACCATATATTCATGTTTTGGTTTTGTGATGGCTTCAATACTTCCATGGATATTTGTAACTCTACTCAGTATTTCCAAGAAAGTTCACGTGAACGCCAAAGGTTGTACCCTAGAAGAGAAACTCGAGGAAATAAACACTGACCTGCTTTTGACTTTTGAAGTCGTTTACATCCCATATTCGTAAAGAACCATCCTCAGATGATGTTAAGATTGTCTCTTTCGCCCTAGGGTGCCATTCTCCATAAGTCAATCCGGTGATGTGGCCTTTAGTATTCTTAAGGTCCCTAATATACATGTCCCCCTTGACAAACTCACCCAACGTAAGTCCATCGCGGTCATATATCTGCACCAGAACAGCAAGAATGTCAGCTAAACTTCATAATTTAGTCTAAATCGAGACATGAATGGTCATTGTATAAGCACCTTAGCCTGGGCTGAGCCAGTCACACACAAAAAACGATCCGATGTCGGACTCCAACTTAAGGCACGAACTTGATGACCTTCCGAGGGTTCAAGCTGTCTAAAGGACTGCAGACGGGCGTTCATACCCCCAAAATCATACATTCGTACCGTATAGTCATAGCTGCCAGAGAGTACTCGAGATCCTGAATGATCCACAGCTAGAGCTGAAACCACCTGCCAAAAAGTTCATTTAGAAGAATTTCGAACTCCTAAATAACACAAAGAATTCCTTCAATCACACAAGCAATTTTATAGCACAGAGACATCCTATTCCTACACACCAGCATAAACTTATCATAATTAACCACAGTTTCCTAACTAGGAAGGTTGGGCAGAGACAAGTCCTGTAACAATTACATATCAATTTGTTAGAGATATTGTGGGTACTGGAATTCAGGTGCTCTTGAGTTTGTACAGAAAGACGATGGAATGAGAAAAAAACTGCACAGGATTTTCATTTAAATCAACAGCATGATACTGAAGCAAATGAAGTTTTCCATGCCTCCCCGACTATTCGTAGATATGTCTAATTTTGTGATGACATATATCTTTTACTTTCTTAACCAGTAATCGAGAGCCTCTCGTTCACTTGAACTCTAATCCTTCAAGGACTTTGAAAACAAAACCTACCCTAACATAAGACACATAACTGCTACAATATTCACACAGAAATTATGTAATTCTACTGCAATCAAGAAATAGCATGATCATAAGTTCAAAAAAATTCAATTTTATATACTATTCAGTCGAGGTACCAAAAATCCAAAACTCGAACTGCCACTACATAGCAACGAAAGACTATATTAAGCTTAACAACTTACTTAGTTAAACGCCAAAAAAAAAAAGTGAACTAGATATTTACCTTAGTAGGGCCCTTCAAGACAATTTCATTGCTCACTGGAATTCGATATCCAAAATCCTCATCTTCTTCATCCATATCTTCCTCAGAATCAGACTCTATATTGCTTGGAGGTGGCCTAGGCGGCCCAATCACTGGCTCATCATCGTCATCACCATCTTCAACATCGCCACCAATAGGTGGCCTAGGCGGCCCAACTACAGGCTCATCCTCCTCCTCCTCATCGTCTGCACCACCAGCGGGAGGCGGCGGTCTGGGCGGCCCAATCATAATCCGATCACCCTTGTCCAGGCCTGCTGGTGGCCGGGGTGGCCCCATCAACAATTTATCCCCATTCTCGTTCCTCTTCGAATTTTTAGGGTTAGGTTTTCTGAAAGCGTCCGCCCAGTCCTTGGAGGAGCTGGATACGGGAGGGAGGCTGTTTGCTCCTTCGGACGCGGATGGTTTATCATCGGCGGAGCCGACGGTTGTCGATGCGGCGGCGGAACTGGTGGTCCGGCGGGTGGCGTTGTGTATGAGTTCAAGCGGCGATTGTGATTTCGATTGCTTACCAAAGCTCAACGGAAACTGAGATCTGACTCCGTCGTAGATATCGGCTTCGTCCGCCATTGTAACTACAGATTTACGATGAATTTTGTTCCGCGATTTCAACAGAAAAAAATTGAGTACTAATTTGATTTCAATGAAATTTATAGACGAAAGAGTAGAGATAAATTGATAATCAGTCTGTATACTGATGGTGGCTTGGGCCAATAAAAATAATTCTAAACCCATTAAGCCCAAAGTATAATGTTGTACCTTTTGGCCCAAAAGGTTATGTTGTACCTTTTAGCCCAAAACTCATTGGCCCATTACCCAAATCATTTTTATTTATTTTTTGAATCAATTATAATATCAAATAAATTTCTATTTAACATCGTACACAAACATTAAAGAGATCAAATATATATAGTAAATTAAAATTTTATAATAATTCAATAAGAATTATAAATAAAAATTAGAGGAAAAATATAGAAACGAATATATATAGTTTAATTTTAAAGAGATATTATTGTGAATTTGTGATATAATATATGTCGTGAGTAGGGGTGGAAATTGGAACGAGATTACCGATTTTCACCCATTTGGATCCGAAATTTTCCAATTTTGGAACAATATTTCTCAATCCGAATTCCGAAATCCCGACTTCCATTTTTCCGAAATTATTTAGATCCGAATCGAAATATAAATGAGATTTTGATTTTCCTTTTTTTTAGTAAAAAGTTAAAAGATTTTCGATGTGATTAAAGTTCCGATTTTTCGGAATATTACAATTAAAATACCAATATTATTTTATATTTAAGATGAGCAAAAATTTGTAAATTCCGAATTCAACCCGAAAATTTTCGATTTCGGAACAATTTTTTTTTGTTCCAATTTCCAAATTTTCGGATTTTTATGGAACGAAATTGGAACTAGTTTATCACTTTCAAAAGAAAAAAAAAATTCCTTTTAAAAAATGACCAATTCCGAGCCGATCCGTTCGATTTACCCCGTAGATATGAGTATGGTGGAAAACGGGTTTTACCCGCCAAGTTCGAATGGGTCGGGTCGGGTCGGGTCTACATAGACCAATAGTGTAACTAGCAAATAGATAATGGGACAGAGAAAAAGCAGCCATATATGACTTACACACACTGGCCAAAGATATTTCTCACTCACACTCTGGTTTCACCGGCGAAAGCTGACAAAGCTCAAGCTCCGAATCTCCCGGAATGTATGGCGTTCTTTGAAACTTGAACACCCTCTCAAAATTCTATCTGCTTTTTTTTTTTTCCCTCTTTTTCAACATGTGTTAATCGTGTGCAAATAGGGAGGGCGATGATTTGAAGCCAATGGACGCCGATCAACTGAGGGAGCATGCCCACAAGATGGTTGACTTTATTGCTGACTATTACAAGAACATCGAACAGTTCCCTGTTCTCAGCCAAGTCCAGGTAATTTACTTATTCAACTGCCTTCAAGGTGTTTGTTGAAATTCCAGAATTGTAGAAAAATCAATCAACAAAGAAAAGTGATCATACACTTTTGATTATCTGAATTAAATACAGTGAGGGCATGTTTTTTTTTTTGAATGGTGTAGCCTGGGTATCTGCGTGAGCTTCTGCCCGATTCCGCCCCGTCTCGCCCTGAATCCTTACAAGATGTTTTGGATGGTAAAATGTTTGAAGTAAATTATGAATATGATGTCATTGCAGTTGCAATTTGAATTTTGAATATGTTTTTTTGTGGGCAGATGTTCAGACAAAAATATTACCGGGAGTGACACATTGGCAAAGTCCCGATTATTTTGCGTATTTTCCGTCGAATAGTAGTGTTGCTGGTTTCTTGGGGGAAATGCTAAGTGCTGGAATCAATA